AGCTTGAGAGTTAGCTCGCCGAATTGCTTTAAAAAGTTCTTATTGTCTTTAATTTATTTTTTCTTGCTGATTACTCATAATCACGCGATACAGATCCAATTCCACCAAGGTCAATCAAATTATTTAGTGATACATTATGTACAGAACAAGGATCTGACTTGCTATTGGGCAATGCAGGGCCTTGCGCACATCGACCAATATAAAATCCAGGTCGTTTGGATATGGCAGAGACATTGTTTCATTTGTAAAAACATCGGACATGGTAGGTCCATCCATGGCACACTCGTGCACGCATAGGAGACCAACATGTACATATCTCAATACTTCATTTTCAGGACATGAAGAATCTAGTTCCTGTCCACCAGGTCAAGACAAGCACCTCTTGACCATAAGTTCCATGCCTACAATCAATTTAATGCGATGGATATATATAGAACTATACTTTGAACTTTTTGCCAGAGGATAAATTAATCTTTATAACTTTTCTATAAGGCTAAGAGGGCCTCGTGTGTTAGAAAGTGCAGTGTTTCGCAAGCCACTTATGATCTCTAGTTGTAGAATTCCAAAACTGTAGATATCTGACTTGGTAGAGACGATACCATTCATTGTTTACTCAAGAGACATACATCACCGCCCAAAATCATCAAACAGACTAAGAAATGATTTCCATCAATAAGCACATCTACAAGTTTGTAAATTTGTATTTACTTACTAAGTCCCAACAACATTGGAGTTTGATAATTTTGGATTCATCTCATTGTCGAGAAGAAATTACTAGCTTTTAAATCTCTAATATTGTTCTTTAATTTTGAATATTTTTGAAGATAAATAAGCCTTTGTGAAATTCCTACAATAATGTTGAAGTGCGTTTTCCAATCTAACGTCTGCTTTCTAGTTATTACCAAGTTAACGTATAACTGAACATTATAGAAATTAACAATAAAATCAAGGATGAAACAAACCAAAAATAAAAATCCAAGCTTCTATTAGGCATGTACTAATAGATCAATATTTTTTCTTCTTCTTCAATGCAGTTTCACAAGATTCATGTGTTTCAATGTTCAGCTATTAGTATAATATCATTCTTGAACTCTACTAGTCCTTGTCCTGAATTTCTTGAAAGTCGCTTTACCGCAATTTGTTGCCCATCTGGTAATATTCCCTATACATGTACAATTTTTTGTTTGTGTTTTTGGCTGTTATATATATATATATATATATGCTAATTTCTTATGCATAAATTAAGTTAAAAGATTGATGTACATACCTTATAACGGGTCCAAAACCACCTTCTCCAAGCTTGGTAGAAGATGAGAAACTGCTTGTGGCTGTTGTTATTTGCAGTAAACTAAACATCTGGAACTCTTGACCTTTCTTTTTCCCATTTATGAGATTATTGCCATCACAAAGTTCATATGAGGATGTTCTGTTATGTTCTAAGGTGAGTAATGAATTGTCTTCAATTGTTTTCCTCTGCCTTCAGATAGAACCTTTAGGTCTTAGTAGTTTTATTCATAATTAATTCAAAAATGTATTTTCCTCTGAGTCTCTCACCTTTTCTACTTTTCTTCAGCAAGGGACAGAAGATGGCAGAAAGAAGAAAAATTAGAGCAGCTACAATAGCTACAATGAACCATATCCACCATCGCCTTTTCATACTAAGCACAAAATCAAATATAAATGGAAGGTCCAAAATGTCTACAATAAATAGCAAAATACGATTAATTGCAGAAAAAAGCTTAAGAATTCAGCATTCAATAAGGAAAATATTGTTATCTCACCTTCATTTTCTTCAGGTTTAAGAAAGTAGCTCACTTTGTTTTGGAATGAATGTTGATCCTCTCATCCAAATGGTGCATCCAGTGCCACTAGTGAAGGCATACTTATAGGCAATACAGTTGCAATCTTTCAAGCATTTGGCATGACAATCACTGAGCCCCAAGCTTGTATTATAGCCATCATTCCTCAACTCATCATCATTGATATCAGTATACCCTTTTCTTGGCACGAAGATCCCTGCACCTGGAAGGCTTTTGTTTAAATGGAACAGCAGTGTGATTATTTTATATCAGTGTTGCACGGTCTGCTATCATTGAGATTGTGAACACTAGAACTACCAAGATCCAAAACTTGAAGAAATTTTCCCCATTCCAACACCCAAATTATTTGTCAGCTCCAGTGCCAACTCGAAACTTCCATTTTTCCACAACCCACTTCTCCAATAAACTTCCCCTCGCCGCCAAATTATCAATTCACGAGATCCATGTGGATTCAAGACAAGTTTGAAAGCCCCTGGAGAAGGCATTTGGTCACTTAACCATGAAGAGAGATACCATTCATGTCCAGTCTTCAGGTTATGTAAGCCCCTGGAGAAGCCTAGTTTCATTTCAGGCAGTAGTGTGTTAGTCGGGTAATCAAAATTCTGCCACAGAACTTTTGAAGCCTTTCCACTAGAATCAACTTCTCTCAAAACAAGGTTGCCTGAATCCAACAAAGTGACAGATATATTACCAACAGAAGATTTTTTCAGTTGACCGAAGCTTCTAGCTATTGCTTGCCCTCCTCCATAAGTGAACTTCAAAATTCCATCACTATCCAATCTCAGTAAACCATAAGTGTCAGGAATAGGGTTTCTCCGGTTGGCCAACCATACAGCTGAAACAAGATCTCTTGACAATCTTTCATTGAAACATATTCCTGTATAAAAAGGCGCTTAGGAAATGATTATGAGAGAGTCAAGGTGAAGAACAGCAATGCATACACTCCACGGGCAGAAACTAGCTTCTCATAGTCCCGCAGCACTTCGCCTTGTTTCATTGTATCTGTTGTTGCATACGAGAGATTGTAACTTGTAAGGCCCCAGCATGAGGAGGAAAAGAAGGCCAATCCAAGCGATTAGATAAATGTGACATAGAGATTTACCTAGTAAAATTTGAGCGTGAGTCTCTATAAACTCTGATTTCCTGGTTTAAGTTATCTGATTATGGTTGCACATAGTAACTTTGATCTTTGCTTTATCAGACATTCAAATTTTTGGCTGCAAAGTAGGATGGCCACAAATTCACACTTAACACCATGATTTTCTTATGGAAAATTCTTCATCCAATTTTAAAATGTATATGTTAGACCAAGACTATTTTTGTACTTTAATATCAAAAAGAAAAAGGTGGTGGGATTTTAACAGACTTGCAGAATTTTAATTGTTTGATCACTTTATAATTTGTAGACTTGGATACTCCTTTAAACTTGAATTACTTCTCTGTTTTGCCTCATTTTAAGACAATTACATTAAAAATATTTACACCCAATTAGACCTAACTATGTATATATAAAAGAAAGACTAAATTAGGAACCTAAGGATGACTAACTTGGACAAAATCACTAAAGCCTTAGAAACTACTAATAGCAGCCATAGAAAGTTATTGTATAAACAAAGCAAGAATATTCAGGGGCATTAAGGAATCAGCAACACAATTTGCAATTAGGGCCTCCACTGATCAATAGTTTCATGTTATTTTCTGGTTTAATTCGACCCCGATAAAAGGCAGCAATATATAAAATATTCCTCACACTTGGCTTTACAAATAGACCTTCCCCAAATCAATCTTCCATAATTTTAGGGCTTTACATGAGTAATAAACTGGAAAATGCTATGATAGTGTCACAGAAAAATACTACACGTCAGATTAAGCCTACTGGTTTTGACTGTAAAAGATCATCATATCTACAGAAAAATTTATTATATCTCTTTGCTGACTCTGTTTCTACTTTCATTAAGAAGTTATTTTTGTAGTTATTATGCCACAAAGCTACACCAATCTTGTTTCAACTAATATAATTGTAAATTTCATACTAGAGGCTCAATAGTCATAAACCTGTTTGATTGAGTGACTGAACATTTTATTTTCTTCTATTGCTTCCATCTCAGTTATCAATACATTATATGCAGAGCAATGATCTACTGTGCCATTATACCAAATTCAGGTTGTTTTGGATATGGCAGACTCATTGTTACATTGGTAAGCATGATACTAACATGGCATCAGAATTTGTAGATCTATCGAAGGCATGCTCTTGCACACACAGTAGTCCAATATATACGTATCTTAGCAGTTGATTTCCGGGACACTAAAAATGTACCATCTTGTCAATTAGCTCAAGACCATCACCTCTGGTCTGCAAGCTCCATGCCTGCAATATAAGCTTAAGACTTGATTAAATTTATATGGCTAAGATTTGTAATTTAGACAAGGACGAGTGAACCTTAATGACTTACATGTTCAATAAGGTTATGAGGGTCTGAATCGTCTGATTTTATGAAAAAATACAGTATTCCTTATCCACTTATGATCCCTAGTAGAAGGACTGTGGTCAAAACTATCGATATCAGACTTCACTGAGAAAATGTTATTAATTGCATAACCAGGAGACTTATGTCTACCATTTACAATCATTCGGAACAATTTAAAGTAATACACTTAGAAAGCAAGTATGGAACTCTCACTGACTTGAACTCATTATCAGTGATGATAGCAGTCACATTCACAACAAAATAAGCAAGAAAGATTAACCTATAATTACTAGAGAGTCAAAAAGATACTTAACATATTTAATTTTCTTATCTAGCTTCCATATCAGTTATGGAGACATTACATATAGAGAAATGATCTGACTTCTGATTAGGCAATGCGACACCATTCCTATTTCGACCGAAACAAAATCCAGGCTGTTTAGGATCTGGTAGAGGCATTGTTTCATTTGTAAGCATGACAGCAACATCATACATGGTAGGTCTGTCCATTGCACACTCTTGCACACAAAGAAGACCAATATGCACACACCTTATTACATCATTTTCAGGACAGCAGGTATCTAACAAATTGTCTTTTAGTTCAAGACTAGCACCTCTTGTCCACAAATTCCATGCCTACAATATAAGTTTTAGTGTTTACTAAATTGATATAGCGATAGTTAGGAATTGAGACTAGGATTGTTAAATATTATCGACTTACATGTTCAATGAGGCTCAGAGGGCCTGATTCATGAGAAAGTGCATTGTTCCTCATGCCACATATAATCTCTAGTAGCAATACTCCGAAACTATAGACATCCGACTTGACAGAGAAAATTCCGTTCATTGCATACTCGGGAGACATATATCCACTGCTTAGAAATCATCAGGTAAATATAGAAATTATTTCACTTGAAAAGAAGTACCTAACACGCACAAAAAGAAAAGTAATAGTATGCATATATAAGAGTTGTTAAAGTGTTTAATATGTGAAAGAGAAGTGTAATGAGATTATAGATTGTTTGTACTTACTATGTTCCAACAACCCTCTTTGTATTTGCTTCACATTCATTATGTCCAAAAATTCTAGCCAAGCCAAAGTCTGATATTTTGGGATTCATCTCATCATCAAGTAAAATATTACTTGCTTTTAAATCTCTATGTATAACTCTCAATCTAGAATATTTGTGGAGATAAAGAAGTCCTTGTGAAATCCCTTCAATGATGTTGAAACGTGTCTTCCAATCTAATTTTTCTCTTTTTGTAGGTTCTGTCACCATGTGGAATTTGCAAACATAGTCAAGCTATTGAACACCTGATGGAAGATAAAAATAACAAAGAACAAAGAACAAACCAAAAATAAAGGAGTCCAAGCTTTTATTCGGCATGTACTCATATATTAGCAGCTTTTCTTCTTCTTCAATGCAACAACCAATAAGCCGGACAAGATTCATGTGTTGAAGCTCAGCAATTAGTGTAATTTCATTCTTGAACTCTACTAGCCCTTGTCCTGAAGTTCTAGAAAGTCTCTTGACCGCAATTTTTTGCCCATCCGCTAACTTTCCCTGTATATGTTTATTTTCTTAATGTTAATTAGACGTGGATTTGCAATGCTTAACTTAAAAGATTCTTGTACATACCATATAAACCGGTCCAAAACCACCTTCTCCAAGCTTATAATCAGGTGAGAAATTATTTGTGGCTGTTGCTAATTGAAGAAAACTGAACAGCAACAACTCTTTGCCTTCCTTTTTACCATTTTTGGAGGGTGATATTTTAGATCTTTCCAGCAACTAAGGACTCATCATGAATTCTTTCCTTCTCTCCTGCAAATTATTATAACTAGTAAGTTTCAGTAGTTGTATGCATAATTTCTTAGGGGCAGTGTGTGTAATTCTGACCTGTTAGTTGCTTGAGTCTTCTGTTTCTCCTCCTTAAGTAACACAAGATTGCTAAGACAGGTGCAATAGCTACAATAAACCATATCCACCACCTGCTTTTTATGCTTCTCGAACGATTTTTCTTCCTATCGGTTGATTCTGGAACCCAATCACAGCACCAGATATCAAATGGTAGGTTAATTGCTAGATCATTGTTACTTCAAGCAATAAATAAAAAATGTATTTTCAAGCCTAGGGTCGACAATGTGCCTTAAGAGAATTCATTTTATACAGTACAAACAAGAGTATGATAAGTTGTCGAACAATAATGTTTGCAAACCTTGGTTGTGTACTGGAGTAAGAAGGTAAACATCATCCAAATATTCATCCTGAATAAAATCTGTTCCCCTGGGAAAAAGCCAGCATCCAGTGCCATCTTTAGAGGCAGATTGAAAGGCAATACAAGAACAATTTTTCCAGCATTTGGCATGACAATCACTTAGACTCAAGCTTTTGTTATCTTCGAAAAACCATGTACTCATATTCCTCATAAACCCTTTTCTTAGCACAATCAACTCTTTACCATTCCTGCAGTTAGCAGGCTTTTCTTTTAGACAGATAGAAGAATTGTTTTTCATTTCAAAGTTACTGCATGGGCTGACTTCACTAACTGAGGTGGAACCATAAGTATCGTGCGAATTACTAGCAGACAGCTCAATATGGCCCCAAGAGGTTAACTTCCAACGCATACTTGATTTAGTAGAGCTTTTTTTATCTGAATAAGAAAAATACCTTTCATTCTCATTTGTAACAAATCTGAATTTCCACTCTCCATCTGCTATAGATGTCAGCTCAGGTGCCATTTCAAAACTCTCATTTTTCCAAAGCCCACTTCTCCAATAAACTTCCCCTCGCCGCCAAACAATCAGTTGATCAGATCCATCAGGATCCAGTCCAAGCTTGAAAGCCCCCGGAGAAGGCACTTTGTCGCTTACCCATGAAGAAAGATACCATTCATGTCCGGTTTTCAGGTTCCAGCCTAGTTTCATTTCAGGCAGTAACATGTTTGTCGAGTAATCAAAACTCTGCCACAAGACTGGTCCTGCTAATCCATCAGAATCAACTCCTTTCACTACAAGGTTACCGGAATCAAGTAGGGTGGCAGTTATATTTCTCTGTGAAGTTTTTGTTTCTTGAATGGAATTTACAGCTATTGATGCTCCACCCCTGTATGTAATCTTCAATGTGCCATCACTCTCTAATCTTAAAACACCAGAGGAATCAGGAACCGGCTTTTCTGGGTTGGCCACCCACACTATTTCTTTGTCCCATAACCATATTCCTATATAACGAGGAGCAGAAGAACCGACGTCTGAATCAAGATTAATGAATCCTAACCTGAACTCGGTGTCTTTAGATAATAGGTGCTCCCAGTCCTGGAGCTGCTGGCCTTGTTTGAGTGTATCTCTGAAGTTTTCTACTTCCACAATAGAACAATGGTTAGGCCGTAAGATGCCTGACATGATGAGGAAGAGTAGGCAAATCCAAGCCATTTGCCAAATTTCTGCAAAGGATTTTTATGAGTGTGTTTCTTGTAACTTATTCAGTAGTTGATCCAATTGCCAGTATTTTCAATCATTCTTCTTTTATTATGTACCTTGTTTTGCGGGCCAAAAGGTTGGGTCAAACTACACTCATTAATCACCAATCACGATTACAGTCTGTAAAAGGCCCCCGAAGACCTTTTCCGTCTGAGAGACTTTGACTACATGAATTTGCCAGGCATTTTCCTAACGCACAGATTTTGAAACTTACCAGATAAGTAATCAGACATTTTACTTAAATAAAAACTAGACATTTAGTTGAACGAGAGATTAGCCTTCTTATAAGCTATTAAGTTTGAGCGTGTTTGATTGATACATGACTTAAATATTTTCTCTCAAGGTTAAATTCATATGTTAGGTCATATTTATTGATAGAGGTAGTTGTTGACTCTCTCGTTGATCAAGCACTTAGTTTAACTGAGTTGATCAAGCACTTAGTTTAACTGTACCTAGTTTTGATACTATGATAGAATTTAAAGTATGTCTGACTTTTCATCCAATAAGATTTTGTTGGGTGAAGTTGTAATATTTTATTCACCAACAAAATATAAATTTTAATAATAAAATGATATTTTAAAAGAATATAGGTGAAATTTTCATCAGACTATTATTTGGGTGGGAGAAAGTGTTTGCTCTTAGTCAAAGGAAAAAAATATTATCTTAAAAGGTTTTTGAATTTGAACACGTTTAAATATTATAATCAAATCAAGTGTTTGATTAAATTCCTGAGTGGGTACTAGAAAATATGCTTTTATAAAGCAAGAACTTCCTCTACGCGTCAATGGCTCGTCAACTCAGAACTCAAAAGTCCATAAGCTTTTTAACACTCGTTTACTTTGTTTCATGAGTATTATTATGACAAGCTTGTTCAAGCATTGATCTTCCAACCAGCAGAATAAGGTCAGTTTCCATATATACTCATGTAATGAATTCTTTCTTAAACTTTCCTCTGCCTTTTGATTTAGATACTCAAGCTTAGGAGAATTCACCCCTAAATAGAGTTAATTTCTTTCTTGTCTTGTGTAAAATATGCGAAGAAAACTACTGAATCAAAGCTGACTTTATCTTGATTGTAGTCCACATTCTAAACAAGCACGGTAGGAGATAAACTTAAAGAAATGAACTAAATGATCTCTCACTGTTGCATGGAAAGCTTGGCATTTGACACATAATCAAATGCCAAACAGTGGAAAAACATGTTCTTCCACATCCAATTTTAATCAATTTGAATTGTCAAAGATCGGAATCGCCAAATTGCTTTTTCTAATACTTCTAATGGTTGTTGGATCATGCCTGTTGAGTTTCTATTTCTAAGGACTTATACATCCTATAGTTTATATTAAGCATGTGTATTGTCTAATATGCATATGAGAGTTTAAATAGCTTAAAAATCATTATCTCTATCCATTTGAATGTTAATATAACTTGTCATAGACTTCTTCCAGCTAATCAAGAGAAGGTGTCTTGTGAAACAGAGTAATAAGAAAAGATAGTATATTGGATTCCCATTAGCATAATCCTCAAAACTTCATTTCTAAGTATGCAGAGGTTTCTGTTGAATGATGATATCATGTTGGAAATGATGAAGTCAACGCACGGTGGGAGTTGCAAGATTTTGGCACCAAGGTTTGCAATGCTACTGTGCATGAAGAAGTTGTTTTTGGTCACTGTTTAAGAAATATTTCAGTGATGTGTTTAGGTGAATTAGGTTGATAAAATGATGTATTTTGATATGTTTGTACGTGCATTAATTGGAGTGTTTGGTTTAAATTTTAAATTTGCAGCTTTAGGTGGAACAGTGGCGTGTGCTTTGTATAAATCTACCCTTGTTTTTTGAATGTAAAACAGAGCAAATTTCAGTTCAGATTTTCTCTCTCTATAGCTCTCTCTCACGTTAGTTTTTGGTCCTCTTTCCTTAGTATACTCCAGCTCTAAAAACCAACAAGTGGTATCAGAGCTGTTGTGATCTTGCAGGACCTGGAAAAACAAAAACCTCTTAACAAAACTCATCACCATACGTAATCATCTTCATGGCAGCAACTCCAGCTTCACTTCTCCACCCACCTTCAATAGAGATCAGTTCCATGTATGGGCTATCAAGATGAAGACTTTAAGAGGCCATGGGTTGTGGCAATACGTGGAGGAGGAGAAGCAAGTTCCTTAGTTGGGAGCAAACTCCACACTAAACCAAATCAGGATTCATGAAGAGGAGATGTCTAAAGCACCAAGGGCCCTATCTTACATACACTTAGCAGTGATAGACCAAGTCTTCACCAGGATTATGGTGTGTGAAACTCCTAAAGAGGCTTGGGATAAGCTTAATGAGGAGTTTGGGGGCAGCAATACAACACGAAACATGCAGATTCTAAACTTGAGAAGAGAATTTGAGATGCTTAAGATGCAAGAGGCTGAGTCTATGAAGGAGTATGTGGATAGGCTGATGAATGTGGTGAACAAGATTAAGCTACTTGGTGAAGAGTTGACTGACAAGAGGATAGTAGAGAAGGTTTTAGTTAGTTTGCCTGAGAGATTTGAGGCAAAAATCTCTTCACTTGAAGACTCCAAAGACCTGTCCCAAATTAGCTTAACAGAATTTGTGCATGCTCTTCAAGCACAAGAGCAGAGGAGGTTGCTGATGCAGGAAGACTCAAGTGAAGGAGCCATGATAGCAAGCCAAAACAGAAGGTATGCTGGAGAGAAGGGACATGAGGAAGTTAACAACGAAGGAGAAAAAAATGCGGGATTGAGAACCTTTCCTCCTTGTCCTCACTGCAAGAAAAAGAACCACTCTGAAAATAGATGTTGGTTCAGGCCTGGCATACAATGCAGTCTTGTAAGTAGTTTGGACATATAGAAAAGGTGTGCAAGAACAAAGGAGGGCAGCAGGAGCATCAATCCCAGGCAGTAGAGAATCAACAGCAGACTCAAGAATTTGAGCAGTTATTTATGGCTTTAGGATATGTGGTTGATTTTGATCAAGAGGTGTGGTTAATTGACAATGGTTGCACCAACCATATGTCACCAAACATGTCCAATTTCGTGAGCTTAGATCAAAGTTACAAGTCTAAAGTTAAAGTGGGAAATGGAGAGCTGCTGGAGGTCAAAGGCAAGGGAAATGTTTCTGTCCAAACCAAGTCAGGTACCAAGATTATATCTAATGTTTTATTTGTTCCTAAAATCAGTCAAAGCCTACTTAGTGTAGGACAAATGCTTGAGAGGAATTACTCTCTTCATTTTAAAAACTCAGCATGTGTCATTATGGCTGTAGTCCTGGAGCTGCTGGCCTTGTTTGAGTGTATCTCTGAAGTTTTCTACTTCCACAATAGAACAATGGTTAGGCCGTAAGATGCCTGACATGATGAGGAAGAGTAGGCAAATCCAAGCCATTTGCCAAATTTCTGCAAAGGATTTTTATGAGTGTGTTTCTTGTAACTTATTCAGTAGTTGATCTAATTGCCAGTATTTTCAATCATTCTTCTTTTGTTATGTACCTTGTTTTGCGGGCCAAAAGGTTGGGTCAAACTACACTCATTAATCACCAATCACAATTACAGTCTGTAAAGGAGCCCGAAGACTTTTTCTGTCTGAGAGACTTTGACTACATGAATTTGCGAGGCATTTTCCTAACACACAGATTTTGAAACTTACTAGATAAGTAATCAGACATTTTACTTAAATAACAACTAGACATTTAGTTGAATGAGAGATCATCCTTTTAGGTTTGAGCGTATCTTATTAATGTAGGATTTGAATACTCTCTCTCCTGATAAAACTCATATTTTATGTCATATTTGTTAATAGAGATAATTGTTAGCTATTTTACTCATCAACCACTCAACTCAATTAAACTTAACTCTAATATCATAATAAAATTTAAGGTATGTTTGATTCTTTTATTGAGTGAAATTGTAACATTTTGTTCGCTAATAAAATATAATTTAGTAATAAAATAATATTTTAAAAATTATGAGTGAAAATGATATTTTAAAAGTCTATGAGTGCAAAAAATTGTCACCAGATTATTATTTGGGTGGGAGAAAGTCGCATACTCTTAGTCAAAGGAAAAAAATGTTATCTTAAAAGGTAATCAAATCAAGTGTTTGATTAAATTCCTGAGTGGGTACTAGAAAGTAGAAAATATGCTTTTATAGAGCAAGAACTTCCTCTACGCTTCAATGGCTCGTCAACTCAGAACTCATGAGTGGGTACTAGAAAATATGCTTTTATAAAGCAAGAACTTCCTCTACGCGTCAATGGCTCGTCAACTCAGAACTCAAAAGTCCATAAGCTTTTTAACACTCGTTTACTTTGTTTCATTAGTATTATTATCACAAGTTTGTTCAAGCATTGATCTTCCAACCAGCAGAACAAGGTCAGTTTCCATACATACTCATGTAATGAATTCTTTCTTAAACTTTCCTCTGCCTTTTGATTTAGATACTCAAGCTTAGGAGAATTCACCCCTAAATAGAGTTAATTTCTTTCTTGTCTTGTGTAAAATATGCAAAGAAAACTACCGAATCAAAGCTGACTTTATCTTGATTGTAGTCCACATTCTAAACAAGCACGGTAGGAGATGAACTTAAAGAAATGAACTAAATGATCTTTCACTGTTGCATGGAAAGCTTGGCATTTGACACATAATCAAATGTCAAACAGTGGAAAATCATGTTCTTCTTACACATCCAGTTTTAATCAATTTGAATTGTCAAAGATCGGAATCGCCAAATTACTTTTTCTAATACTTCTAATGGTTGTTGGATCATGTCTGTTGAGTTTCTATTTCTAAGGACTTATACATCCTATAGTTTATATTAATCATGTTTATTGTCTAATATGCATCTGAGAGTTTAGATAGCTTAAAAATCATTATCTCTATCCATTTGAATGTTGATGTAACTTGTCATAGACTTCTTCCAGCTAATCAAGAGAAGGTGTCTTGTGAAACAGAGTAATAAGAAAAGATAGTATATTGGATTCCCATTAGCATAATCCTCAAAACTTCATTTCTAAGTATGCAGAGGTTTCAAACAAAATGCCAAGAGGTTCACTAGAGTCAGTCAAAAAGATACTCAACACATCAGTTAACGAAACATTACATACAGAGAAATGATCTGACTTGGGATTAGGCAAACACAACTGTATTCCTATTTCGACCGAATTAAAATCCAGGTTGTTTTGGATGTGGTAGAGACATTGTTTCATTTGTAAGCATAATAGCAACATCGTACATGGTAGGGATGTCCATAGCACACTCTTGCACACAAAGAAGACCAATATGCACACATCTGATCACTTCATTTTCGGGAATCTGGCAACTGTCTTTCAGTCCAAGACTGGCACCTCTTGTCCATAAATTCCATGCCTGCAATAATATTCAATCTTGATGCAATTTTACATACATAGCTACGAGTAGCTGAATATATATAAGAATCATTATTTTCATTGACTTGCATGTTCAACAAGGCTAAGGGGGGCTGATGTATTAGAAAATGCATTGTTCCTTACCCACTTATTATCTCCAGCAGCAGCACTCCAAAACTATAAACATTTGACTTGACAGAGAAAGTGCCTCGCATTGCATACTGAGGAGACATGTATCCACTGCTTAAAATCATTAGAAAACTTAGAAATTATTTCACTTAAAGAGCACGTATTCTAGAACCAAAAAGGGGAAAAAAACAGTAAAGCATAACAGTTTCTAACAGGTGATCAGTATTTAAACAGAGCTATGTAACGGGTGAAAACTACATATTATTTTTTATACTTACCGCGTTCCAGCGACCCTTTTTGTATTTGCTTCAAAATCCTTCTGTCTGACTCTGAATATTCTAGCTAACCCGAAATCTAATATTTTGGTATTCATCTCATCATCAAGTAAAATGTTACTAGCTTTTAGATCCTTATGTATCACTCTTAATCTTGAATATTTATGAAGATAAAGAAGTCCCTGTGAAACTCCTGCAATTATGTTGAAGTGTAGATATTGTTAAGCTAGTAGGTAAAACACATCTATTGGAAGATAAAAGAATGCAGAAAATAGTACAAGCCAGAAAGGAGATTGTCCAAGCTTTTATTAGGCATGTACTCTAGATTAGCCTTTTTTCCTCTCCTTCAAGGCAACAACCCAAAAGTTTGACAAGATTCATATGTTGAAGTTCAGATATTAATTCAATTTCATTCTTGAACTCTACTAGTCCTCGTCCTGAATTTCTTGCAAGTCTCTCTGCCGCAATTTGTTTGCCCATTTGATAATATTCCCTACATTTTCTTTATTTTCTTACTGTTAGATATAATTTTTCCTGCTATGCTTAAAATTAAAAAGATTGTTGTACATACAGCATACCTTATAAAGTGGTGCAAAATCACCTCCTTCAAGCTTACTAGATAGTGAGAAATTATTTATGGCTCCAGTTATTTGAAGAGAACTAAACAACAGCATTTCTTGACAATCACTCAAATCCAAGCTTCCATTAGGTTCATTACACAAAAGGTTTTCTTGATACATATACCCTCTTCTTTGCACTAATATTTCTTAACCATTCCTGCAGTTAACAGGCTTTTCTTTCAGTCAGACAGGAGTACCCTGTCTGTCTACATAATTGATGCATAGGGGTGTCAAACTGTCAATTTCACCCATCGAGTTAAAAATTCATTTTCCTGAACAGACCTGTTTTCAATCTAATTTCAGTAGAAGTTGCGAAATTTGACCCAGAGACCCCAACTGCCAGCTAGATTGAAAAGACCTGTTCTTGACAGAATAAGAAAAACAACTTTCGTTCTCGTTTTTAACAAACCTGAATTCATATACACCGCCAAGAATTCTTGGCGACAGTCCAGTAACCAACTGGAAACTTTCGTTTTTCCACAACCCAGTTCTACAGTAAACTTCCCCTCGACTCCAAACAGTCAACTGGTCAGATCCATCAGGATCTAATCCCAGTCTGAAAGCCTCTAGAGAAGGCACCTTGTAACTTGGCCACGAGGAAAGATATCATTCATGTCCGGTCTTCAGGCTCTTACCTAATTTCATTTCAGGTAAACTCTGCCGCAAAATTGGTCCTGCTAGAGTGCTATTCCATCAGAATCAACTTCTCTAACTACAGGGTTACCGGAATCGAGTAGGGTGGCAGTCATATTCCTCTCTGAAGTTTTAGTTGCTTTAGTGGAATTTAGAGCTTTTGGTGTCCCTCCCTTGTATGCAGTCGTCAATGTGCCATCGCTATCTATTGTCAGAACACCAGAGGAATCAGGAACTAGATTTTCCGGGTTGGCCACCCACACTGGAAATATTGGAATTTTGTTGAACCATATTCCTATGTAACGAGGAGCCAAGGAACCAAAGTCCGAATCAGGACTAAAGAATCCCAACTTGAACACCTCTTCTACTGAAATTAGATACTCCCAGTCCTGGAGCTGCTAGCCTAATTTGAGGGTATCTCTTTCCGCAAGTGAAAGATTTTTAGACCCTAACAGGTATGACATGATCAGGAAAAGAAAGCTAACGCAAGCCATTAGCCAAATTTTGGTAACGGACGTTTATATTTCACAATATGAAGTGGTTAATAAAATATTTTTCGCTTAAAAGAGTGTTCTTAAGTGATGGTGGGGCAGTTTGATTATCTTTCCAACATATAGACTCAAAATCTTTTACTAGAGACCTGCTGGCAGACTCCGCTCTTCACAATTTTTTTACTAGAAATGTAATGGTTATAACAAATGAAACCTCAAACCTATATGGAAATTTCATTTGATGTAATTAACCATTACGTTTATGCTGAAAATCAAGAATTGGACTAATATTGTATTTTTCTTTAAGTATCTTAACAAGCCTTACTCAAAGTCAATGTACCATTTTTTTGTTTTATGTAAGTATCAGAGTTTCATCGTGAACAAACGACCGATGTTTAACCTGATAATATCCACTTATTTTCTCTGGTATCCCTTATGCAGAGCGGTTCCTTGAATGTTGATGGACCTTTTCCTCAAATTCATCTTTTTGAGAATTCTGAGAGACTTTGTTATGCCAATAGGTTCAACTACATCTATTAAACATCTTCAGCCTAAAAGTAAAAAATTATGGCATAATGATCCTCCAATATACTTCTATAGATGAATTTGGAAGGCATTGTCCTATACTATTTTATGCCTGACGGCACAAATTTTGAAATTTCGTTGTGTATGACCGCAGGGATCATAGCTTAATTTTATGGTTTCTATGACACAGAGCTTAAGTGACAGGTGGTTCAAGACAGATATAGACAGAACAACTTATAGCCAAGCCAATACATATGCAAATACAAAATATCAAACAAGGCTCCAAATAATAGTAAAGCTCTTTAACATAATCCTGTACCTCATGGGAGTTTTCGGCATATTAATATCCTCTCTTGGAAAATGTATGTCCATAATCAAACATGTGCTGGAGATTATGTGGGAAGATATATGGAGAAAAATTGAAACCTTATAAAATATTAAAATGGGTGTAGAAGGAGAAGAAAATTCGCTTGAAGGCACGGTATACAGTGTCGTCTTCCTTAAAATGCCACTTATCTCCACCAATTCAGTGATGCAATGGATCTGAAAATGTTCCTCCATGATACAATATGAAGTACTACTTGTTTATAGTTATCATCTTCACACCATTCACATCCATAAACCCTTTTATTGGCGTAAAGAATTCTGACCTTTCCCCGCACTTCAAAGGCTTTTCACATATACCATCTTTATCTATTCCTAGTGCAGCAGAGGCATCAGAAATTATGTTTTTTGGATTTTCTACCCACAAGTAACTATAGACGGAGTTTAAGTAAACGGAGCTAACCGTATTCCTATTTAACGAGGAGATGAAGATTTGAGGCTGAAGAATTTGAACACGAATGCTCCCATGGCAGAAATTAGCCTGTCCCAGTCCTGGTATAGTTGGCTTTGAGTCTATGCATCTGTTGCTGCAGGTGAAAGATTGGGAGGCCCTGCCATGGTAAAATTCTCTATCTCGTATCCTTATCCTCCTCCTCTATGACCTTACATATACAGCGAACCTAACATATTGCTGCTACACATCTATTAGACTTTGGAACTTCCAGAATTCAAAGAGGGTTTTTATTTTTTATCAAAGACCTATGTTATATATCATGTAAATGTTGATCTTTCACACTCAAAAATTGGCGGAAATTAGTTATCCCAAAGGCAGGGAGATTGTCCATGTTTTATGGTATCTGTTTGTACTTTCTAAAAACAATCTTTTTCTGGGTAGAACAAGGTTTATTTTTATGTTGGTACTTTGTAGAAGCAAATTCTGACTATGTTTATATACTGTGAATACCATATTTTGGCGTTCTCTGAACACCCATTAAATTTCAAAGGAAACTAATGTTACTCTTAAGAAATTTTTTTATTATTTCAATATTTTCTCCGCACAGTCATATGGACATCCTTCATTGTATTTGATTGACACAAACCTCGGCATGTAAACCATAAGAAAGCAAGTATTGTTGTATGAATTCTGGATATTGTTCTCTATATAGGACTGAATATATAAGAGTTGCTCAAATAAATGGAAAAACATTGGAGATCTGATAAGCATACATGCACTTAGTCCGTTAATTGATTTCTTTTTCCTTCATATATTCTTCATAACCACAGTAACATACAATTGCATAGAAGATAACTACCATACATATATATTTAACTGACAATATCTCATGTCCTTAACTTGCCGGCTTCGGCTTCCATCATACAGATAGCTGTAGAATTTATTATGCTTAACAATACATAAGCTCATATTTGCAGAATACTATTTTCCAACTTTATGCAGCAATAATTCGTTTTGGTTTGTTTTTCTTCTTTCCTGCACATTAAGTATTTCAAGTATATATTAGCTGATTAAACACATAAATTATTAAAAATTGATTATAGTTAGATCGTAGTAGGCCTACCTTCAGTGTTTTTCAGCACTAGTGAGCACGTAAATATTGCCAATATATTCATATGGAATGAATTTTGATTCCTTTGTCCAAAACTGGCATCCAGTTCCATTCTGAGATGCAGAACGGTACGCAATACAAGAGCAATTTTTCCAGCACGCGGCATGACAATCACTCAGAGCCAAGCTTGCATTATAGTCCTGATAGCCTTCTACATCCATACCCCCTTTTCTTGGCTCAAAATAGTCTGAATTTTTCCTGCACTTCAAGGGCTTTTCGTTTAAGCAAACAGCAGTAGAATTCCTGGCAACAGTGTTGCATGGACTAGTAGTTTCAAATATCCAATCAACAAGACCAGAATGCTTATACAAAGTGAACTGTGTAATTTCGCCCAAAGACTCCAACTGCCACCTTGATAAAACAGCTGATTGATTTTTAACAGAATAAGAGAAATAACTTTCATTCTCATTTGTTACAAACTTGAACTCATATTCACTAATTCTCTTTGTTATCTGAGGTGCCAACTCAAAACTTCCATTTTTCCATGCCCCACTTCTCCAATATACTTCTTCTCGCCGCCAAACCATCAATTGGCTGGAACCATTAGGATCCAGGCCGAGTTTGAATGCCCCTGGAGATGGCAATTCATCACTTAGCCATGAAGAAAGATACCATTCATGGCCAGTCTTGAAATTGATGCCTAGTTTCATTTCAGGCAGTAGCATGTTTGACGGATAATCAAAACTCTGCCATAATATTGCTCCAGCCATTCCATCAGAATTAACCTCTCTGATGACAAAGTTTCCAGAATCTAGTAGCGTGGCTGTGATATTTTTCTCTGAAGTTCTCTTTGCTTTATTGGAACTTATAGCAATAGGAGGGGCTCCTTTGTATGCAATCTTCAAAATGCCATCACTATCCATTGTTAAAACACCAGAGGAATCAGGAATTGGATCGTTCGGATTGGCGACCCAAACAGGATAAACAGGTATGCTGTTGAACCATATTCCTATATATCGAGGAGCAAAGGTGCCCAAGAGGGCAGAATCCGACCCGAGGCTTAAAAATCCTAACCTGAACACCCCACCTGTTGAGTTCAGAAGCTCCCAGTCATGAAGCCTTTGGCCTTGTTTCAATGTATCTGTTTCTGCATGAGAAAGACATAGAGGCCTTAAAAAGGTGCATGAAATTATGAAGAAAAGAAGGCTAAGCAAAGCCATTAGCCCAAATTTGCAGAATTAAATGATTCTCTTAAAATTGTGAGGATGTCGTTGCATATCAATCTTGAGCCTTTGCATTTCTTTATATAACAAACAATGTGCCAAGTTTTCTTAGAAAATTCTTGTTCATTAGACACTGTTGTCCCACCACAAGCTGCTGATTTTTCTGTGCTTCTTTGATTACTGTTAAAGACTAGATCCCTGTATTATTAGATTTCAGTACTTTGAAAAGTAGAACCGAAATAGATTACTTCAAATTCAGTTGCCTTGTTTCTGAGGAATGTAGATTTCCACATGCATGCTTCAATTATTGAATCACGTAAATTTCAGAGTTTCTGGTCCACTTCGCTCTCCATTTTCAGTACTCAATCGATCACTTGCGTCATTTTTTACTTTCCCGGTCAAACTCTGAAAGCATGTGCTCTGTCCTCTGTATATGTGATAAATCTTTCTTTGAAAACTAATGGGGGCTAGTCATACCACGAGGTTTGATTCTGATTACTTGCATAAAACAGTTTGGCCCTACTATCGATTTAATACTTTCCTGTACATTAATACTCTCTCAATATCTAAGAAAAGTAATAGATGGTAGCCCTCCAAAATTGACATTTCCAGTTTTAAAACATCCTAATCTATACTGTTTGCTACTTAAATTGACTGCACTAAGTGGTACAACCTTCATGGTTGAGAGATTTGCACTCTGCTACTCACTGAAGGCTTGATTCAAATGTTCAACTTTATTAAGTACTGAGATTGGCTAAGGGTTTAGAAAGGAAAAACGCCAAACCTATGAGGCCCGTCAAGTTTGGTAATCTAACTTTTACTGTTAACATCACACATCGATTATGAAGAAGAATTTAGCCTCAACTAAATAGACTTGTTTTACTGAAGAATGCTTGCCTTCTGGGTCCAAATTAGATGACAATTACTTCATTGGTTCTCAGGATCAATTATGTTAATCATCTCAAAGAAAGGATCCGGGATTACATGAATTAATCAACAATTTTATGATAAAAAAATTTCAGGCCAGAGGTTAATGATTAATTTACTGAAAAAGCATCATCTACAAGACTACAATTAAAGACAATAGCATATTCAGATGATTGGCTCTGTACATACATGTAAACCGTGTCTTTGTGCTCATATTTTGAATGGACTTTTGAATAATTATGAAGCTCATCTCCCAACACCCTCCATTTAATGGACATTGAATATGATGCTTCCTCCAGCTACCTTTCTTTTCTCACCTTCTGAGACTTCCCTACAAAACTCTTCTACTCTTTCTATTAAATGCTGTGCTTTCAAATCTTTCCATCCGGATACTACGCTCCCTGTGCAGAGATTACCACATTAATACAGGCTGCTCCAAACATTTAATAAAGTTTCTTAATTAACATTCAAAGTTCAAACCCATCCAATTATCCGAATTTTACCAAAAAAAAAAAAAAAAAAAAAAAAATATGAACATTCACAAGACAGAATGAGTAACTAGCTAGAAATCGATGCTACAAATACAATTGATAATTAGTTTTAAATTAGCATATAAGAGATGCTGCTATTTCCATGTCTGTTTGAGCAAAAATACCAGAGGAGTCTTGTTTGAAAAATATTACACACTTCCCTCACATCTAACAAAACCAAAAATGTAGAATAAGCAAAAACAAATATGGAAATAGCAAGATTTTTCATAATTACAGAATCAAAGAATTTAATTGATACTAATTTTTTTTTTTTTTTTTTTTTTTTTTTACGAAGACAATAATGATGATTATGGGCATTGTGGATTTCTTCCAGGCCCTCCATATAAAAATGTGTGCCCCATTCGTTGTGTGTGAGCTCTTGATGTTGTAACAGTTTGTGTTTTCAGCTAGAGTTGAGATGCCTTGTGCGGAGGTGAGGCTGTTATCAGAATCCAATCTCCAGGTTCCTGAAATAGCTTGCTTTCCGACCCATCTTCAGCAAAATGGCCTGACCCCATTTGGTGGACGTGGGCTCGCCGTTGACTCGTGAGTTCACCACCTCGCCGCCCCACTCCACCATTGGCATGGTCCGCTAAGTGTGTAAATAGCTCAGCGGCCAGTATCCCACAAGTGTTTATCACAAATCCCATCCCCCAATTTCCTTTCTCGTCCTGAATCAAGAAAAAGAGTTGACATATGGGTCAGTATTTTAATGTAATTTAAGTACACAATGTTAAGAAAATAGAAACACGTACCTTCCAAATGAGGATGGTAATGTCGTATTGGTTGGAGGCATAGGAAGAAACAGGAGAAATGGCAGCTCCAATGGCTACTCTACTGTTTGTTTGAATGAATCCAGCGCAAAGAAGATTGTAGCATCCTGTAGCTTGATATGAATCGCTCTGTAAATTTGCAATGTATTATTTAATGATATTTGTTGTGAGTCTTTATTGTAGTACAAAATTATGCCGACAATAAAAGGGAGAATTAGAAACTCAATCCATGGACCTCATCAATGTAATTAAATGCCACCCACCAGATTGATTAATATCAAATTCTCATACACTTTCATATGAAGATGACAAGTAGAGCAATATTTATTTTTGGTTTTAAATACCATGAATGATCCAAAAATATTTAAAGAAAAATCAATAGAGCCTTGGTTAACAAAACCCTAGCATCTGTAATATTGTAAATGATTTAGTAAACGACTTTTTCCCACCCAAGGTTTGCTTTGATGACACTTTTTCACTCTAAAAGTTTCGAAATACCGTCTTCTCACCCAAAGTTTATATTCTAGTTAATACTCAAAATACACTTCATTTTCTTAGACAACATTCACGAGTTACCAAGAATCAAGGTAAGATGGGTTTTATAACGTAGAGGCCAATAGATCTAAGTGGTGACCAATTGAAGATTCATCATCGAAATCAGTTAAGAGCATAAAACCCTAATTTCGTGATGACTGACAATTAATGAGAAATCAGGTACACGAGTGAGAGAGGTTTTATAGAAAGGAGACTGAAGGTTCAAATGATTATGACAGAAAGAATTTTCGCCGTTAAAATCAACTTTAAATAGTAATGAAATATTAACTTTAGGTGAAAAAGTAGTATTTTAAAATTTTTTGAGTTAAAATAGTCGTTTACTCTTTAAAAGACATGGTTTTGGTAGGAAATTAAGGTTTAAGAATCGGCAACAATAATTAACCCTTTAGCGGGCAGGTGTTTGTTTAATTATTAGATTATGTTTTAGTAAGATTTTGCTTACAAGTTAATTAGGTTATCATCATTAAAGCAGAATTTTGAGATGGGATTAAATTAAATACAAAAATAATCAAATATTTTAATTATCAAGTTAATAATTATATAATAATTCCTGAATAAGAGGGAGATTGTCAACCCTAGATTAAGTTTGACTTTAACCTTCTGGACCCAGACCACGTGCAGTTGCTCGTGGAAGAAGGATAATTTACATTATTAATTATAATTAAACCTAGATTAGAGAAACTTACAGTCCAATACGTGAACAATCTCGGCCTGCTGTCACCATAAAGCTCCGGACTGACCTGACTAGTACAATAATCCAAACTTTAGAAAATTAAAAATTAAAATCAAAAGTATTGGTTACTGTGCATGCGGGGACAGGAAATGGAAGGAAGTACCTGCCATCCAGCTTCTATGCTGTTGAGATCTGAGCCGTCGAATGATCCCGAAAGAACCCAAATTTGTGATAGACTGAACTCGTTGACCACTTGGATTGACGGGTCCCACACGTTTATGGTAGCTCGGGCCCCATACACCTCTTGTGATGTTCCAGTGTAGGCGATCGCATGCTAATTTAAGTTACAATTCAATCAGATTTTGATATAGAAAATATGGAAAAAAACAAAGGTGGAAACACAATTCCCGAGAAGATTTTAAGATCATGTGGACCTTATTAATTATTTTGATAAGCATATAATAAATGGGTTGATTTTGCTGATTACTTTGGTGGGGTGGGGGACTGAGGAAGAAGTAAAGTAATACGCAATCTTAAGCAATTAAAAATATGTGGGCCCTTAACCAGGAGAATAATCAACGGTCTGATTTAAATTTCATATATGATCTTTAATTAGGGTTTTACTTTTTCAGATTCTAGAATCTATTTCTTGTAATTACATGAAATATCGTTAATCTAAATTGGAAACCCTAGTTCATGAAGTCAATTATCTCTTCCAGAGTTTCAGGTTAGGGTAAGAAGAAAAGACAGATCGAGAGGTGATGGGGATAATGAATGTGACAGATGTCGATAACTACTTTTCAAACATAAATGAATAATGAAGAAGAAGAAGAGATAAGGGTTGAGGGATGGCGAACCTCATGGCCATTGCCGCTCACGACATCTGGAGCATCGGCTCTTCTTCCAGCAAGACCAAATTTACGTTGTTGTTTCTTCTTCCCGAAATCAAACAACGACTTGGCTCTCAACACATCATCGACTGAGCTCCGACGAATTGGAACTGTTCCCCTTGGGCACCTTGTCCCATTTCTGTGCCACATTTGCCATGCACCTTTCAGTACTACTTCTGCATTTTTACTTGTGTTATTGCTCTTTGAGTCTCTTGTTAACTCTTCTTCTTCTTCTCCTCCCCCTCCTTCTTTCTTCATGGTTTTCATACCAGCAGGCATTGACGGTGGCACTTTCTGTTACATTAAGAAATATTATAATATAATAATAACAAGACATTAAAGAATGCTAGTNCATCTGGCGCATCGGCTCTTCTTCCAGCAAGACCAAATTTACGTTGTTGTTTCTTCTTCCCGAAATCAAACAACGACTTGGCTCTCAACACATCATCGACTGAGCTCCGACGAATTGGAACTGTTCCCCTTGGGCACCTTGTCCCATTTCTGTGCCACATTTGCCATGCACCTTTCAGTACTACTGCATTTTTACTTGTGTTATTGCTCTTTGAGTCTCTTGTTAACTCTTCTTCTTCTTCTCCTCCACCTCCTTCTTTCTTCATGGTTTTCATACCAGCAGGCATTGACGGTGGCACTTTCTGTTACATTAAGAAATATTATAATATAATAATAACAAGACATTAAAGAATGCTAGTCTATGTTATAGTTGATGAATAGATACCTGGATCTTGTGGTTTTTTAAAAGAGGGTGATCGAGAGCTGGCTGTTTTCTTTTATGGACACAATCTATGATATCTCCATCTGGGCTCTGTAAACATGAAACAAAAAAACAAATAAAGATTAAAGAGACTCTTGCATGCTTAATAAATTCTTGTTCTTGAGAAAAGTGATGAGAAGTGAAAATATATACCTCTATGGTGAAGACAGGAGGCTTGTTAATCTTGTGTAAATGCTTTTGAATTCTTTCAAGCCTCAAAGTACTAACTTGACTGGAATCTAAACCAGAAACAACCCCAAATCTATGGAGAGAAAATAGAGCTAGAAGAAAAAAAGGAAGAAGAACACCACCCATTTTTTCATTCAGTGCAGAACCATTACCAACCCTCAAAAAACAAGAGAGGAAAAGGACTCTTTACACACACTCTCTCTAAAATAAATGCTGAAAATGAAGGTTGGTGAAGGATGATAAATAACCTACTTTATCAGCATCAGCATCAAGAGATCATCATTGCCTAGAAATAATGCATTTGGATTCAAACACACAGAGAAGAAGGATAAAAAGAAAGAAAGCAAAGCAGTAAGTATTGTATATGAATTAAAACCTCTCAGAACTACCCAACTAATTAGCATTGGCCCCTTTTATTGCCCTTCTTCAATGTTGTATCTGCCACCATACAACTTTGCCATTAATACTTTTCTTTTTCTTGAAAACTCACACACATGTAGTGTAGATATATACCCCTATTACTTTCTTTTTTTTTTTTTGTTTTTCTTTTAGTTTTCTTTGCTTCTCAGCCTCTCCATCTATTCCATGGCGCGTTTCTTTGCAACTTTTTTTCAACTCCAAGTAGTACTCAATTGGTATACTTTCTAACCTGGCCAACTGCCACGTGGCCTTTCATTCCTATTGCTTCATACCTAATTTCGCTACATTATATCCGAATATGAATACGATATGCCACCATATATATATATATATGTTTAACATAAATTTTGTTCTAATTTATATTTATACTTTACTATATATTATCGTAGTGTAGTGTTAATGTTGGTTTGTTGAGTTTTTGTGAATTTTTTTTTTTTTTTTCCTTACGTTCAGGAGTGTTCAAACCAATTTGTGTATATTTCAACTAATCTCCTAGAGTCATGAAGTTAATGATCAGATAAGTTTCCAGTGATCACGCCTATTAATAATCAAGGTGGATCGAACTCAAGACCTCTTAAGTAATACACCCAAGAGTCTTAATTGACTACTCGACTATCCAATAGTGGTTATCATAAGAGTTTTTGTAAAATTAATTTCAAAAAACTTAATTTTGCTATGAATAAAAAAAATGATTTATTTGTTTCATTTTATATAATATTAATTAAGTACATTTTTGGATGAAATTAAGGTCTTGAAGCATAGTTTAATTAGTTTATCTAGAATTTGGAGTTGGAGGTGATGAAACCCAAGGAAGAAAGAGGGTAATTAATAGTGTTGAAATTTCAACGTGTTGGGGAGGCTTCCATGCTGCTTATATTAATTAATTATTATTATTATTATTATTATTATTGTCATTGAAGCATTGAATTGCAAGCAATTCCTTAATGTGTGCTACAATGCACTATTCTCCATGTGAGTGCGCATCATAACATAAGTCTAATTAATTCAAATCATATATTAATAAATTAATTATAGGAGATACCAAAATCATATGCTAAATAATTAATTGAGTATTATTATTAATACAAAATCATTTATAAAAGATTTATATAAAATGTCATTATATTGATTCTTTTATTTATTAATTATCATATTATTTGTTGTATTATATATTGTGTATAAGAAGTTTTTTGTTACATATGAATTTTATTGAAATTAAATTAATGAAATCGGTAAGCTTCTATTCTCGAATCTCGATCTCGAATACTGAATTTGCTCATTAATTCAAGAGAATTTTGGCTGTCAGCCAGGCCTTTAACTTTCCCAACCTGGAACTCGGATTTTGACCCAAATTAATTAAACTTCATCAAATGACTTTCATCATCCTGTATCAATAATTAAACAATATCAAAGCTTATATATATATATATATATGACAGTCTAGAACAATGGTGATTCCATTCCATTAGATTAATAGCAACTTACTGTTACGAAATTAATAATTTATGTATCTTACTCTCTTCTTTAATGCATAATAATGAGGAAGTAATTTGTTTATGCCAAATTCAGGAGCAAGATCATCCTAAATGTAAATTAACCCTATTATTAATCATCTGTAAAACTAACCAACAAAGCTCAGACCCTATAGCATATTTATTAAGTAGTAAGCTAATTACTAAACTTAATCTATCATTTTGCATCATCTAATATCTAATTAGAATCCTGGTGATCCATTTTAGGGAAACCAAGTTTCATAAAGCTGATAAGAGCAAACCAGGAAATGCACAGATATCCTGTAGATCCCAGGTTTGATTTTCCGTTAGTGTAAAGATAATACATTTGCCCATGATTAATCGAAGAGTCACGGCGGTGGGTTGTTATAGTAACTTTTCTAGGGAATAGTCGAGTACAGAAGTTAGATCGGACATCTCAATTTCAAAAAAAAGATCATACATATATTGTTAAAATAATTTAAGCTAATCAGTGTTTTAATATAATTACGCGTGGATTTTGTTCGCTGAAATAGGTGTTGACACCCAAACAGTGGAGCCCAGCTCATAGGTTATATCTACATATATAAGAATGAAACATAATAAATGAATCAAAATAAAATAACAACTACTTGAGTTAATATAATTAATTAATTTGGAGAAGAGTAGAGAAAAACACATAATAAATGCCTCTATTTCTAGGTGGAACACCGAATTAAAGGATCAGAATTGATGAATAAATAAATTAATTAAGTCACCTCTCTTGAGAAAATAATAAATTTGATTAATAATGGTCCTCTACTCTATGGGTTTATTTATGTCTCCAGGCTCTGGCTTAGCTACTAGCTTTTCATTATCAAATAAATAAAAAGAGAGTCAGACATGCCTAAATTCATTTTACATAATTAAAATTCATTAAAGAATTATCCTAAAATATAAAATTCTTCCTTAAAGAAACCTCATGCATAGTTAATACTACCTTATAATATTAAAATCCAGTAAAAAAGTAAATAGAGGTTGCATGAACTCCTGAATTTGAGTCTCTACAAGCGTTAATATGGGTGATCACTGAAGGATTTACCTCGTCGTCAACTTCAAGATCTCGGATGATTAGTTGAAGTGTAGACAAATTGACCTAGACATTTCCGTCACAAAAAAAGAAAATAGGGTCACCATATTTTTCTAATTTCACTTCATTGCTAAAATCAGATCCTACTTTGACCAAACACAATATGTAAATTATTGCGGCAAATACAGATATATGCATAATTGGGCACACGAGAAATAAGTCAAGAGGGGTATTTTAGTAATTGAGGGAAGAACTCGCTTTTAAGTGAAGTTGGCGTGAAAAGGGGTGACTTGCTATCGAAAATTTATTATAGCAACACCAAAGACCAAACTAGATGTCTGACTGTAAATTTACCAGAATAACCTTAAAAATAATACTTATGAACACAAAAGTATTGACAGATACGTTGAAAGGGATTTACTTAATAATTGTCCTAATTGCATTTTAATAAATGATTTTCAGCCTTTTAGAAAATGTATTATGGAATAATACTAATACTTATTAATCAATTAAAGATCCGTGCGCTTTATTATGAACAATAGTTTCAAAATCAAAAGTCACCACTCCAAAGCCCAAACTATAAATTTGTGGTCATATTGCATTATTGCTAACAAGGTAACTACTAAAACTTTTGAGTAATATTATCTTTACACCACTTTTTATACCATTTTCATTACATCATGATATGACATATACCATATCCACATAAAATTTTAATTATTTTAAAATTTTAATATTATAATAAAATTATTATTAGTAAAATGATCATGGTGTAAGAAAAATAGTGTAAAGAGTGATGTAAAGGTAACTTTTACTCGATCAGTAGTTCCAGAATTCTAAAAAATTAGTTGAAGTATATGTAAACGAACCTAAACACCCCATTCATCAAAAAAATAAAAAATAAAAATTTCGTGGTCATATTAATTAGTGAATAATATAAAGCATTCAATTACTAACTGTGCACATTCATCAACAACTTGAATTAAAAAAGGGTCGATCTACTCGGAATGTAAATACAGATCATGTAAACCATTTGACACAGAAATATAACTCTCATAATTTAACAGATGACTATAAATTATATGACAAACAATTACTAGTTTTCTAATTACAAATGAAAGCTTTACAAATTAGCTTTCTATTTGCATTAGCAGTTGCCAAAATTCATACAAAATTGTGATGAGAGAATATATGGTCTTCAGACCAGTATATGATACCCTGTTGGCTAATTGATTACCCAATTACAAATGACAATAAACAAAATTCGGATGAGACAATTTTGGGTTTGGACCTCTCTTTGTGTGTATATCTGTATCTCCTATGAACAAACACAGACGCCATAAAAAATTCGGCCATAGACTTCCCTCATCATCAGATTATACTTCCACTCTTGAAGAACTTCAAAATTAAAATGGATCGGTGACCACCAACATTTTCAGCCACTTGCCGAGTCATCTTCACTGTCGTCACTGTCATCACTGCATTTGCATATCCAGCAAACGGCAAATGTAAAACAAACTTAAGGCATACCCAGAAGTTCAAAACCAATGTGGAAATAAAGATATTCTTCACCACAACAGACAAGGGTTTTACGAGTATTATGATTGAACAGAAGTACGTTGTACACTATATATATCCTGACCTTTTTTATGTTTTCCTATGGCTATAAGCTGGGGACTACTACTAGACTCTACATTCTTAATATCGGGAAATTTGTGTGGTGTAATATCCCAAGTAGATGGGCCCAAGAGAAGTTAAACCACCATCCAAAACAACCCTTAGATGGTAAATTATCTTGCATGGTTGTGTGCGAAAGTATGATTGGAATAAAGTAGGTAAAAGGAATTCCTATAACTTATTTAAATTCAGGAGAGGACAAAATACTTAATAACTAACAACCAAAAAATAAAAATAAAAAAGATGTTCAATGAAATACCTGTGCTCAGAAAATTTTGATAATCGTCTGGCATCCAAACCTGTAATAAATTTTTGGGCAGCTTGAACATATTCTGTCCCTGCAAGTGCAACATCAAAATAGCAGTACCACTAAGTTTTAATTAAGCATCATTGGATCAGTAAGAGAAAAGAACTTTCAGAACTTGGGGCACGTAATAGCCCAGATGAGGCAAGACTTGAATTTTTCTCAAGAAGAAGCTCCAACTAGTTTATTATCAGTAAATGAGTACCTAGCTCTCTCTCCTCTCTCTCTCAACTACTTGTCTTCTCTAAATGCTCTGCATATTTCTTTTACTTATCTCTTTTGTTCTTTGAATTAGCCAATATCCAGCTTAAGTCTACATATCCTATTCCAGTAAGTCAAATCCTTTCCCTACATCACGCCCTCTTGCACATAAAATGTTATTTTGAATAACTATTTACTAATTAAAACTCAGCCACCCAAGGACAAGCCACCAGATGAAAAGTGACAGAAATGAGACATACCCTTTGTCAACTGAAAGCAATGCAAGGCGCATCTTTCAGCAGCCAGTCTCACTGGAGTACTTCCGTCCTTCAAACATTCAGCAAGTGCAGGACCAAATATTGTCACATTCGCCGCTACTGCTGACGGATTTGCCTGCAAAATATATGCCACAGTAATTCCAAATTTCTTATACCAATCAATCAGTACACTAGTGAGCAATCTTAGTATGATAGCGCCAAAGCAGCAAAACATCATGTACATACTTTTGCAACAGATTTTAGAGCAGACAATGCCCTTCGACGAACTTCACTGGAGTCATCATGCAATGCTAACACTGCCGATGAAAGAATATCAGCAATTGCCTTGGGGTTAGAATGGTCACTTTGAATTTGATGAAGTAAAAGCCTCCCTAATGCCTTGGTTGAAGCTTCACGAAGCGGAAACTATTTTCGTGGAAGTGTCAGAACTTGGCCCAAAAGAAAAAGAAATAAAAAAAAAAAAAGTGGCATAGCTTTCCCGAGTCAGATTACCTTCTCATCTTTCAAGGAGCTTTTGAGACGGTCTACAATTGATGGGAAAACTGGAGACATAAAAACTGCAGAAGGATTGTGCCTAAGCAAGGCAGAGAATGCCAGTACAGAGCCATGTCTAGGAGCCCAGCCAGGAGAAGAAGCTAAATTAAAGAGNATCTACTCGGAATGTAAATACAGATCATGTAAACCATTTGACACAGAAATATAACTCTCATAATTTAACAGATGACTATAAATTATATGACAATCTTATGGACAAACAATTACTAGTTTTCTAATTACAAATGAAAGCTTTACAAATTAGCTTTCTATTTGCATTAGCAGTTGCCAAAATTCATACAAAATTGTGATGAGAGAATATATGGTCTTCAGACCAGTATATGATACCCTGTTGGCTAATTGATTACCCAATTACAAATGACAATAAACAAAATTCGGATGAGACAATTTTGGGTTTGGACCTCTCTTTGTGTGTATATCTGTATCTCCTATGAACAAACACAGACGCCATAAAAAATTCGGCCATAGACTTCCCTCATCATCAGATTATACTTCCACTCTTGAAGAACTTCAAAATTAAAATGGATCGGTGACCACCAACATTTTCAGCCACTTGCCGAGTCATCTTCACTGTCGTCACTGTCATCACTGCATTTGCATATCCAGCAAACGGCAAATGTAAAACAAACTTAAGGCATACCCAGAAGTTCAAAACCAATGTGGAAATAAAGATATTCTTCACCACAACAGACAAGGGTTTTACGAGTATTATGATTGAACAGAAGTACGTTGTACACTATATATATCCTGACCTTTTTTATGTTTTCCTATGGCTATAAGCTGGGGACTACTACTAGACTCTACATTCTTAATATCGGGAAATTTGTGTGGTGTAATATCCCAAGTAGATGGGCCCAAGAGAAGTTAAACCACCATCCAAAACAACCCTTAGATGGTAAATTATCTTGCATGGTTGTGTGCGAAAGTATGATTGGAATAAAGTAGGTAAAAGGAATTCCTATAACTTATTTAAATTCAGGAGAGGACAAAATACTTAATAACTAACAACCAAAAAATAAAAATAAAAAAGATGTTCAATGAAATACCTGTGCTCAGAAAATTTTGATAATCGTCTGGCATCCAAACCTGTAATAAATTTTTGGGCAGCTTGAACATATTCTGTCCCTGCAAGTGCAACATCAAAATAGCAGTACCACTAAGTTTTAATTAAGCATCATTGGATCAGTAAGAGAAAAGAACTTTCAGAACTTGGGGCACGTAATAGCCCAGATGAGGCAAGACTTGAATTTTTCTCAAGAAGAAGCTCCAACTAGTTTATTATCAGTAAATGAGTACCTAGCTCTCTCTCCTCTCTCTCTCAACTACTTGTCTTCTCTAAATGCTCTGCATATTTCTTTTACTTATCTCTTTTGTTCTTTGAATTAGCCAATATCCAGCTTAAGTCTACATATCCTATTCCAGTAAGTCAAATCCTTTCCCTACATCACGCCCTCTTGCACATAAAATGTTATTTTGAATAACTATTTACTAATTAAAACTCAGCCACCCAAGGACAAGCCACCAGATGAAAAGTGACAGAAATGAGACATACCCTTTGTCAACTGAAAGCAATGCAAGGCGCATCTTTCAGCAGCCAGTCTCACTGGAGTACTTCCGTCCTTCAAACATTCAGCAAGTGCAGGACCAAATATTGTCACATTCGCCGCTACTGCTGACGGATTTGCCTGCAAAATATATGCCACAGTAATTCCAAATTTCTTATACCAATCAATCAGTACACTAGTGAGCAATCTTAGTATGATAGCGCCAAAGCAGCAAAACATCATGTACATACTTTTGCAACAGATTTTAGAGCAGACAATGCCCTTCGACGAACTTCACTGGAGTCATCATGCAATGCTAACACTGCCGATGAAAGAATATCAGCAATTGCCTTGGAGTTAGAATGGTCACTTTGAATTTGATGAAGTAAAAGCCTCCCTAAAGCCTTGGTTGAAGCTTCACGAAGCGGAAACTATTTTCGTGGAAGTGTCAGAACTTGGCCCAAAAGAAAAAGAAATAAAAAAAAAAAAAGTGGCATAGCTTTCCCGAGTCAGATTACCTTCTCATCTTTCAAGGAGCTTTTGAGACGGTCTACAATTGATGGGAAAACTGGAGACATAAAAACTGCAGAAGGATTGTGCCTAAGCAAGGCAGAGAATGCCAGTACAGAGCCATGTCTAGGAGCCCAGCCAGGAGAAGAAGCTAAATTAAAGAGTTCCTGAATGAGGTCAGCCAGCTCAGCATCTTCCATGTACTGAAATATCATTATAAGAACACAATTCAACAACAGAGAACAAGAATACTAAATCAATAGGTACACTAAGGACAAATTCTTAAATCAATACTAAAGTCGACAAACATTAAACAAGATGTGGAGAGACATGTAGAAGAAAAATGTAAATTGTAGATATTACAGGAATGAAAGACAATAAGAAGTATCCATCAATTCAACAGACCATGACTAGAACACCCTCTCTAACAATGCTTTAGAAAATATATACTAGTTAATGACATTTTTAATCAACTCAAAAAGAATCTAACAGAAAGCTTCATTGTGCTGGCAAAATGGTGTATATGGCGGTTGGCATGGTGGCACTGATAGAATGCCCCCAGTTGTTTGACAAACAACAGCACCCAACATAAGCGAAGTATTCATACTATGGGCGAAGTTTCCCTCCCAACATGAAAATTAAATGACACAAGTGCAGCAAGTTCCTTAAAATAACTTCACCAAACCTGTGACATGATGCCCAAAATGATTGCAGCAGATATTCGAACTTGGTCATCATCGTGATGAATTAAATCCTTCAGGATAACATAGACACGAGATCTAACAGTACTGCTCACAATCTTCCCAGCATGCTTCAGTACACCTTTTAAAGCAGTCAAAATGGCCTCCCTAATCCCAGCATCGGATTCCTAATCAATCAAATCTTAAAACAATTATGTAAACCAGTTTCGGACCAACTTAATGCAATAATTCAAAATAACAAGCATCACCTGCAAACTTGTCAGAAGGTCACCAACTAAAGGATCAACCCTGGTACTGAGAGCACTAAGCTTTCCAAGTGCAAGAGCAGCACTTGAACGAACAGTCCTGCACACATACATAAGTGTTCGAGCTAACTAAAATGAATGCCAATAACACATAATGCAGCATATAAAGCTAAATGTAAGTTATCATTATTGTTATTGTTATTCTCATATATATAAGCATATACATAATGAAGTAAAATAATCCCAAACATCCTTTTTTCTATAAGAAACTATAAACTTGTTATTCAATTAGTAAAAGAGTACGAAGATACAATTTCTAACTGGGTAACTACAGAGAATCAAAAAACCAGTAGAGGTGTAAAATTTTATACACTTATTTGTAGTGAGTAATAATCCTTCCACTAAAGAAAATAATCACAATCATCAAAAGAGGACTTTCATCTTGAGTACACCGATATTCCTTCAAGCCATTAAATGAATTGTGTGTACTAAAGAAATCCTCAATACTAACCTGGTATTATCCTGTAGACACTTGATAAATGTTGTTTGAAGCTGGGGAAGAAAAGGCTTAAGTGCCATCCCACCCTTTCTTATTATGATGGTTAAGGTAGACAAAATGGCACTCTTCACCTGCCACGGGAACCGATCACCAATAATTCGGATAAGAGGCCTGCATCAACAAATACAACAGAATGTCAGATTTTATAGAACACTGAACTGTAGTTCACACAGGCATCAGAAATTGTGTTAAGGAACACCTAGCTTATAAAGCAATTTATTCAGTGGTCTATTCTCCTAACTTCTAAAACAGCACAAACAGATGAATGAATTTGAGTGCGTAAATGAAAATAAAACATTTAGAACAAAGATTCATTTTTAAAGATTTTTAAACTTCACGTGAACACACAAAAAAAAATGTAACAGTCATGAGTTTCGAAAAATAGACTTTGAACCACAGAAAAGAAACTTTACAAAGAAATTCCAGAACTCGAGAAAATAGGAAAAATGCATCCAAGAGACCTGAACACTCAATCCATTAATGAGGGAGTGAACAGGAAAAACTGGAACTCACAAACAAGGCAATTTTTTCTATTAAGAATAGTGCTTTACCCAATTTGAATCCACCAATAAATATATCAACTTTACTAACATTTAAAACATAGACAACAATTACTAAATAACCACAGCATATACCCTGTTATAGGAATAACAAACTCCTTCAGTGCTGGTTCACTAGTCACTTCAATAAGCTCCCCAAGACCCAGTGCTGCCTGCTCTCTTAATTCAACGGACCCACTTATTAGACCCTACATGTGCAATAAAATATCAGACCGAACTTATAGAAAATGGAAACAGCATTCTGAAATAAGATAAACTCCACACCTGTGCATTTAGTTCACGTTCTTTCCATTCTAAAAATACCTTTTATGATAATTAAAATGCATAAAAAAGAACCATGAAAAAATGGCATTGTAGTTGAGACATCCAAAAGAAATATTTTGGTGATGTTACTATAACTATTAATCTGTTACTGATTTTGTTTTTAAAACGAACAGGAGAAACCAGTGGGATAAAGCCTCCTAAGAAAAGTGACTCAAGTGACAACATAAAATCTAGAATTGAAAATTTCTCAGGGCCCGCAAACAATAACACTTAGTTCACAGATCCTTAAGCAATCAACTTGGCACTAGAGACAAACTACTGAATGATGACCACTTTTCTTTTTTCTTTTTTTTCATTGTTGATAGGAAACAAATTATATCATCAACGAAATAAATCAAAAAGTACGCATGTTGATAAACTAGTTATCCACTAAGAGATAAAAAAGAAGAGACCTCTAACCTACCAAAGAATCTAGGAGCAAAATGGGCTATGTAATACTACAGTACTGGGGGTGGAAGGTTAGCCCCCAGTGACATAACAAATCCCAATGTTTGAAAACTAATTACAAAAGTAGCCACCGGAAAACAATCATAAGAAAAGATCAAGTTGGGAGATTGCTGCTCCCTAATTAAAGTGAATGAAGAAAAAGGGAAAATCTCTAAATTCTGAAGAAATAGATACACAAAATAATGCCCTAAATTTAACTTTGTCCCACAGGAGAGGACCTTCCCCTCCATAATCTTCAAATTTCTTTTGTTTCTATCCAGCCAAATGACCCAAAAAACTGTCAAAACCACAAAATCTGACAATACTGTTGCTTTCTTATTACCCCTAAAAGCCAAAATACTTTCTATAAGAACGGAACAGCAAGAGGGACTGACAACCACATACTGTACTCTGTTAAATTTCTCATTATTTAACTACTTAAGAATAGATTGTTCAATGAAATTACCGGAAGCTCATTTACTTGTAAAAGTGGAGACATAGAATGATACAGGAGAAACAGAAGCTAAAAAGACTCAGACATAAGGATAATTCACTGGGGAAAAGAACTATAGAAGATAATCACAAAATATTTTAATTGAATGCCAAGAAAATAAGTAAGAAAAGAAATACTTGAAGAAATATTGGAAGCAATGGCTTAAGAGCTTTTGGGAGACAGAACCCAGGAATGAGAATTGGCCCTCCCTGCAATTTGAAATAATAAATCATTTTCAGATCAGTTCACATTAAACAAATAAACATCTAAATACGTGAGAACGAATTACAATGGATCATATACCATCATCAGTTTATCTGCAAAGAAACACACACCTTCTTTTTTCTGCGCTCTTTATCTCTGGATGTAGATACAGCATCACGTACTAGCTTTATATATGAAGGCAGCACCTCTTTGGGAACTGAACCAACAACCCTTGACAAAGCCTCCCACGCAACCTGGTGAACAGAGCATAAGATCCAATCTACAATATTGAGGATCAAACGACGGAACACACATAACATATTTAAATATACCCCAACAGTAGCTGAGTCTGGATCACTAAGCAAAATAATCAATGTAGATATCATATTTGGAGCTTCATCAACCAAATATAATTTGCTGTTTTTGTAGAAGTATCCTATCATATATGCAGAACTTCTTCTAATTGAAGCCTGAAATCATACAAGTTACAAATATAAAGTGAGTGAAACTGAGAAAGATAAAAGATATGATGAGCACATCAAAGACATCCACTAGTAATCAAGCATACCTGACTGTCCCCAACACCTTTAAGAAGCTCTGATATCAAAGATTCAATGCCTTCCTCATCTATAACAAAGGCTACTGTTTCTGCAGCTTCCTTGGCCAAAGTTTGAACCTCCTAAATACAAAATAGCAGTAAACAATTTAACATAAGGAAAAAGCAGTATAATTACTCTTAAGAATAATAAAACTAATATGGTACTAAAGCATGATTATTACATCATCTGCTTTAAATATTCTATTTATTTTCAGTTTTCATTCCTCCAAACACATTATGACATGAGTTTTATGAATGAAGTTTTGTGAAGAGGTTGTATATATAACATTATTCTGCTTTAATAGGCCAAATGAGCTGCATGAAAATGACAGGAAGCCATATATATACTGTATAAAAAGAAGGCATGTGAAGCCAATTAACACAGGTAGTCAGGAAAACAAAGTACAATTAAAAAAAAAAAAAACAATTACCGAATCTTCACCACCCATGGCAGAGAGTAAAGCAGGAAGAATAGTGCCAAGGTGAAAATTAAGGCCAGGACCGGCAACCTCTGCTAAAGCTCCAAGAGCATGTGCATTAAAGGCTCTGGATAAATGTCCAAACTTTTAGTAAGAAAGCATTCGCTCTAAACTGAATCTTAAAAACGTGACAAGATAAAAGAGACACATACGATAATGGAGGATGGACAAGCTTGGGCAAAATATGAGGTAAAACAGCAGCAGTCCTGACACTAAAATTGTAAAAAAAAAAAAAATATTAATAATAACAATTTAGGATAGGAAAATGTACAAAAACGTAACAGAAGAACAGTGAGTGACAATAATAATATACTGAACAAAATGTTACCTTAATATTTGCTTCAGGCCATCTAGGGCAGTATCAGAGGTTTCATCATCCTCCAAAGCATGTAGAAGAGTTGGGACTATTTCATCAATTGCTTGCATTCCGGCACTCTATGTCAACATATTTATGAGTTATATTATCTTCAGAAAATCATATTTAAAAGATAAAATTCAAAGGGAACCTGAGAATAGAAAGAGAACCTTGAAAAGAGTGCTAAATGCTAAGCCTGCCGACTCACGAACCTCAGGTTCGCTGTTAAGATCAATTAAAAAAAAAAAAAAAATCAGAATGTCTCGTCCAATAAAAATAAAGAAAATCTCAAGTGGAATTAATAAAGGAACAAATACAAAATAACAAACCTATCACATAGGGCTGTCCTGATAGTAGGGATGAGCTCATCCATGAAACTCACCAACTGATTCTTACCAGCACTGGCCATCACTTCACTCAGACCAATGCATACCCCCTGACAGTCATTTGGATATGAGAGTGTGTCAAACAACAGAAATACCAAGCTAAGATTCCTAGCAAGTCTTGAAACACAAATACTTCAACATCATCTGTAATGAGGGAACATAACAAAGAAAAGAGGGGAAAAGGGTTGAAAGCAAGGCCTCCTTAAGTTAAGAGCATTGATGATGCAGACCCAGCAACATCCTAGTCTTACACAACAAAAACGATATATGAAAAGGTGAACTAGAATGGGGATAAAAATATGAAAACCTGTTACCATATATCAAGATCTATCATTGCAGACACTAGGACTTGGATTTTGTTTACGTGTTTGACATTACTACAAGGCTACCTCCGTTGCTATAGCTAAAAACTTAATATAAAATGACAATCAATAAAAAGATATCAAACACATTCCACTGCCAGAAAAGGCAAGCTCGTTTCCCATCTATAACCCTCTCATCTCTCTTCCGGTTTCTCATTCAAATTTACCTGCTGGCTGATAATCTAAAAGATTAGATAATGAGCCAAATATCAATAAAAATTCTGAACAGAATTATCAAGATGATTTGGAACCCCAGTAATTTGTTCTTTATTAAATCAAATACCTAAATCCATAGTCAAGGATGGCAAGACTTTAAGTAAACTATTTGAACATTATAAATATTATCACTTTGAATGGACATACAAAAGAAAGTTCATTCCCGAAAAAGGTCTATTGTATATGAGAGTGTAAGTGACAGCAAACATATTTACATCTAGACCAAATCCTAATTAGAAGTAAAAAAAATAAAACATTAACAAAGCTAAGACTAAGTCATGACATTAAATAATAGTGGAATACAGGAACTCAAAGCATACCATAGTATAACATGTCATAACTATATCTGAATATTTCATCCATTCACAACCTCATGATATAAAAGCTTACACACAATATCAGGGAAAATAAAAACCATATTACTGGAAGAACAAAAATTACTTGTCTTCTGCTAGCATTAGGGTCCTTCAGCCCTCGGGATAGAATTGGTATGATCAAAGGAAGTACTCTTTCCCCAAGCTTCCTAACAAGCTCTCCCAACGATCGTCCAGCAACCTATATTATCACCATGATTTTTTTATTTGAGAAATTTACAAAAGTACCCTAGAAATAGATTAAAAATACACATACGAACCTGCCGCCTCTCAGAGGATGAGGATGCAAGAGAAGAAATTAGTGTATTCATCAAAACTGGCATTATTTCCTTGAGAGTTTTTGGAGTATTCGCCACTATAGTTTTCCACACATGTAATGCAGCCTGACAAGAGGACGGATCATTTCAACTCTAACATTCATGGTTGTCTAAAAAAAATTACATGTCCACAAAACTGAGAAACTAATATATCATACCTGACGCACTGAAATACTGACATCAGTCCGAACCATATACAGAGCAGCAAGAACTTCATTACGCTTTTCCCTTCCAAGCACCTCAATGATAGCACGTCCATGTGCTTCAGTACTAGCACCTTCATCATCACTGCCACCCTCAAGTAAAGCTTTTCCAGAAGTCCCAGCAACCTAGACAATATATATAAGTAAGATATAGCTAAAGCATAAGAATTATTTGGACTAGGAAAGAAATTAAGAAATATTAACCTTAAACAAGAGATCTCCCAAAAGTTCCACAGAGCTTTGTCGGATACGCCAACTATCATTGAAAATACCATCCTCTACAGCCGGAAGGAGCAAAGGTAATGACCTGAGACCAAAGAAGTAGATATGAGTGCTTGAAGATAATTTAACATTTTAACATTAAAACCATTCAGGAAGACAGCAAATCATGGCAGATTTCATACATAAAAAGTAGAAAAAATAATTTATTAATTAACCTTCCTTCTTGAACATTTTTGTAATACAATTTGCTTCATCCTTTTCAATATATTTTCAGTATTAAAAATAAATTCAGAGACACACCAGGAAGACATGCCAAACATGAATCAATACTAAGCAAATAAATAGTCATTTTAAATGAAGTGTGTGTACGTTGTTGCATAGTGCTCCACAAGGATATGTCCAGCACCCAATGCTGCATCACGCACAGATTCATTCTCATCGGCAAGACCTGTATAAAAATAAAAAGAATTACATTAAAACTTAACAACAATCCTCAAAGAAAGTCCAAATTGAGATGAGTATATACTCCACACCAAAGAAAAATGTATTTACCATCTAAGATCGCAGGCAGCACTTGCTGCAAGTAGTTCTGGAATTGCACACCTAATGATCTTGGCAGATACTAGAAACAAATTTCCATAAAATAGGGAACAGTTATATGGAGCCTAGCCAAAGCAAACATGTAAAAGAAAAAATGAACAGTCAGACAACATGAGGTTTCACCTTGAAAAGTGTTAGATATCCATCACGTACAGAAGCTCTCTGATGGGAGCAGTTTCGAATAATATCTGGAAGAATATGTTCAAAGTATATGGTGCCAAGTGCAGCTAACACCTGCGAGATAGATAGATAGAGAATGCTTAAGCAACCGCAACCAAATTGAAATCACAGAAGGAAATGTCATCCCTAAAATTTTACAGAGTTTACTTTATAGCAATGAAAAGAAACACCTTGCTGGGTACCTATAACAGATACTAGAAAACAAATGGTTTCGTGCATTATATAGATATATATAGTACTGCCATTTTAAACGATTCATTGACTGCCTTATTACAGCATAATGTATCAACAATTGCATTATTACAATGAATACAGTATTTAATACATTAACCATACAAATGCAATAAAAATCTAATTTTTATACACAAATAATAAAATAGCAGTGAAAACCACCACACTCTTAAAAGCAGCAATAATAAGAAACAAAAAATTAAAAAAGGTCCCAAAGAAAAAAATTAAACTACGGCAAAAGCTATATGAACTAGAAAGAGCATAACAATTAGCCCCTTAAATGGAAAATTTCAGACCGTAAAAGAGCATTAAAGTTAATCCTTCTGCATAGATTAAACAACACAAAGCAACAATAAATAAGTACTATGAAGAAGAAAATTGATTATAGAGGCAGCCCAAAAGAAAAAGAAAACATAACAAACTTTTGAATACTTTCACAGCAGGGCATAACTTGAAACCAGAAGATATGACCATGAGGAATGATCCATTATGGACTAAATTAAAGATCTTTTAATATCATAATGGATAAAAGTGAAATATATAACGGATAATTCTAACCTCACTCAGTCCTTGAGCAGCTCCAGAGCGCTCAACATTACTATTATCAGATTTTAGAGTATCTAACAACCATGGTACAAGGTCTGGAAAGTTTTCTTCTCCCATTCCTCTTATAAGGGATCCAAGGGCCCTCGCTGCAACAGATCTAACTTCTGGAATTGGATCCACAAGCACCTGTTTTTATTTTCAATAGAAAAATCATGAGAAAATGTTCATATAGGGAATCATGAGAAAGTGAAAAAGATGTAAAAAAATCCAGTAAAAAGTATATAAAACTCCAGTAATATAAAAAATTACCTTTTTCACTTCAGGAAGGAGCAACCCTATATAGGGAATCATATCCTTTGGTTCAGTAACCAATGAACACATATTTCCAACTATTTGTGCAGCTTTCTTTTTGGTTTCAGCGCTTCTCTCCCTTAGACCTCTATGTACAATAGGCACCAATAGAGCAAGAGAAGGTGCATCTACTGAATTTACAAAAGTTGTCTGCAAAACACAACAAACATTTATGGCAAAAAACAAGACAAGCAAACTATAACGGGAAAATTACATTTTTATCCACAAAACCTTACATGGAGGAGTATATCAAGAGAATATCTTGTGTGGTCATTGGGGTCAGTAAGACCCATCAAAAGAGTAGGGACAAGAGAAGCTATTTCAGGATTCTTTATCACACTCCCAACCTAAGAATAATAATAAAACATATTAAAATCAAATAGTAACAAGAAAAAACAGTATTTAATATCATAAAGCAATTATACCTGCTGAAGTGCTGTCTGCCCAGCTGACTGGACTTTGGGATGTGTATCTGTTAAAACCTGAAGTCAGAATAAAAATCACTGTCAGACAATATAAGAAGCAGACAAAGACCCAATAAAACAGGGAAGCAAAATGATGAGTTATTCAGTTGAACCTCAGTCAATTTTGGCACGATCTTTGGAAGGCACTGAGATAGTTGTTGAGGAGCACAGTAAGCCATAGCACCAAGTAGTTGTACACTGCTTTGTTTTGTGCGCCAAGCTTTGTCTTCAAGACCCTAAGCGGTATTGGGGCAAAAGAAAATGTAGACGAATGCAGGATAAGATAGGGCAACAAATTTTTGCGATACAGAACCATGAGACCTTTCACCGGGAAAATGCAAAAATTGCATTGTAGAAAGATTTCCTTCTCATAATTATAAATCTTGGTCAACCATACTTTATCTGTATTATTATATAAATATGTACATTCTGAGGTACAGATCTAAATCTGAACTTAAACTCTCGCGTGGAAGAGTTAACTCTAGAATGCAAAACTTGATAAGATTTTTTGTTTTTATCTTGATCCTACCAGATTAAATCACCAAAAGACAAAATTAAAAAAATTCTTCCATAAAAGAACTTAAGTGGATTTTAAGAAAATGCAGACATCTGCAAGAGAGAACTATTTATATCCAAGGGCAGTCTTAACTGCTGCTCTGTTCCAATAAAAGGTAGATCCGACAAGCCAAACTAGTTTTTATTTTACTCCCAAAAAGAAAAAGAAAAACAAGGAGTATCATCCCAAGCATACCGAAGAATACAGAACGTGTAACAAATACACTATGTACTTGGACAAGAAAAGATGAAAATGCATGATACTTTTTACATTTATGATATGAGGAAAATTTTGCAGCATCAAGAAGCCTATCATGAAAAGATGACCAAGATTTTGAAAAACTGAACACAAAAAATTAGGCAGAGCATCTTTATCTCTAGCAAACCTGATGGAAATTATGGAAACTACAATAAAGGAAATTAGATAGAGCATTATACTAGAATTAAAACCTTTAATAGTGATGGCAGGACAAGCTTCACCCCCTGGGCACTAAGTTGAGACATCATTGCACGAGCAGCACTATCAGCAGCTTCACGAACAGCAACAACTTGATCGGAGAAAGAAACCAAAAGCAATGGTAGCATTTGGATCACATACCTGGATCAGAAGTGGTGAAAAGGACCAGATAAACTAGTTCATTAAGAATAAATTATACAGAGACAAAAATGCTCATAAATATTGTTTACGTACGGTTCAAACAATCTCCCAAGCATTTCACAAAGGCACTCAAAAGCCAGTAAAGACCCTTCNCCCCCCCCCCCCCCCAAAAAAGAAAAAGAAAAAAAAACCAATCCACTGAATATCTGATAAAATAGCCAGATCACCCATTGCAAGTTACAGTACCAACTAGCTTCATACTTTTTATAGTCAATGAAGGGGACAGTTTGTGTTAATACTCTAATAATTGACTAATTTGTTAAGGTATAAAAGCCCTTTCAACAGAAAGCTGCACCAACCTCTTGTAATGCGTTGATGAGGTATAGTGCTTCCAAAAGATCCACATGCAACTAAACTCATTTTCAGTAGCACTTGAGTTGCCACATTGGATTCAGATTTGGAACATAAATAGAGATGCAAGCTTATAGTCCCCCTCCCTTAAAATAGAGACACGCACAAACATTTTCTCTTTTGGGGATTTGGAGAGTGGGAAGGGAGGGCTTAAAGTCACTAGAATCCTTACAAGCTGAGTTAGCACTACCTTAAATTTTTATTCAACAAAGTCACCAAAATTTATGATAATGCAAAGTATTGGTAAAACTAGGGGCCAATAATACCTGTCTGCAAAACCTTCTCTTAGTACAGCCACAATGCCATACTTCTTCAGGGAAGAAAGTCCTAATCCCTTAACCACTCCAGCAAGTCCAAATGCTGCTCCACGACGTTCTCCATATTTGTCGCTTTTCATTAGCTGATCCAACAGCCCAGAAACGAGTGCTGGTGCATCATCCTATGCAAGAAATTGTAACATTAATTTAAAAGCAACTTTTAATCTCCATTAAAAACCCAGAAATGGTCAAAGGCATAATTAATCTGTAAAACATCTAACAGACCATGCAGAAATGCCTAACAATAAATAAGAACACAAACTAAAATCCTATCCAAGCAACATCTTACATACTTGCATTGATTGCATTAATGGAGACAGGCATGATGAGACTGCCCGCTGAACAGCTTCTGATGGAGTGTTTAATACATCCAACAACTTCTCTACAACAGCATGAACTTTAGGATCATCCTGTTACAAAGAAAGGAGAGTCAAAAATGAATATCAAATGCATATCCACTCAAAAAAATAAATAAATAAATAAAGACAAAAATGTTGTATATGCTCAAATTGGTACCTTCTCCAAATGTTTTGCTAGGGCTCCAGTAAAAATTACTACACCCTCGCGAACCAGACAAATCATGGCAGATTTCATAAAAAAAGTAGAAAAAATAATTATTAATTAACCTTCCTTCTTGAACATTTTTGTAATACAATTTGCTTCATCCTTTTCAATATATTTTCAGTATTAAAAAAAATTCAGAGACAACACAGGAAGACATGCCAAACATGAATCAATGCTAAGCACATAAATAGTCATTTTAAATGAGTGTGTGTACGTTGTTGCATAGTGCTCCACAAGGATATGTCCAGCACCCAATGCTGCATCACGCACAGATTCATTCTCATCGGCAAGACCTGTTAAAAAATAAAAAGAATTACATTAAAACTTAACAACAATCCTCAAAGAAAGTCCAAATTGAGATGAGTATATACTCCACACCAAAGAAAAATGTATTTACCATCTAAGATCGCAGGCAGCACTGCTGCAAGTAGTTCTGGAATTGCACACCTAATGATCTTGGCAGATACTAGAAACAATTTCCATAAAATAGGGAACAGTTATATGGAGCCTAGCCAAAGCAACCATGTAAAAGAAAAAATGAACAGTCAGACAACATGAGGTTTCACCTTGAAAAGTGTTAGATATCCATCACGTACAGAAGCTCTCTGATGGGAGCAGTTTCGAATAATATCTGGAGAATATGTTCAAAGTATATGGTGCGCGAGTGCAGCTAACACCTGCAAGATAGATAGACAGAGAATGCTTAAGCAACCGCAACCAAATTGAAATCACAGAAGGAAATGTCATCCCTAAAATTTTACAGAGTTTACTATAGCAATAAGAAAAGAAACCCTTGCTGGGTACCTATAACAGATACTAGAAAACAAATGGTTTCGTGCATATATAGATATATATAGTACTGCCATTTTAAACGATTCATTGACTGCCTTATACGCATAATGTATCAACAATTGCATTATTACAATGAATACAGTAATTAATACATTAACCATACAAATGCAATAAAAATCTAATTTTTATACACTAAACTAATAAATAGCAGTGAAAACCCCACACTTAAAAGCAGCATAATAAGAACAACAAATACAAAAAAGGTCCCAAAGAAAAAATTAAACTCGGCAAAAGCTTATGAACTAGAAGAGCATAACTTAGCCCTTAATGGAAAATTTCATAGTAAAGAGATCAGTTAATCCTTCTGCATAGATTAACAACACAAAGCAACAATAAATAAGTACTATGAAGAAGAAAATTGATTATAGAGGCAGCCCAAAAGAAAAAAAAACATAACAAAATTTTGATACTTTCACAGCAGGCATAACTTGAAACCAGAAGATATGACATGAGGAATTATCCATTATGGACTAAATTAAAGATCTTTTAATATATAAGGATAAAAGTGAAATATATAAAGGTAATTAACCTCACTCAGTCCTTGAGCAGCTCCAGAGCGCTCAACATTACTATTACAGATTTTAGAGTATCTAACAACCATGGTACAAGGTCTGGAAAGTTTCTTCTCCCATTCCTCTTATAAGGGATCCAAGGGCCCTCGCTGCAACAGATCTAACTTCTGGAATTGGATCCACAAGACCTGTTTTTTTTCAATTAAAAATCATGAGAAAATGTTCAATAGGGGATCATGAGAAAGTGAAAAAGATGTAAAAAAATCCAGTAAAAAGTATATAAAAACCAGTAATATTAAAAATTACCTTTTTCACTTCGGAAGGAGCAACCTATATAGGGAATCAATCCTTGGTTCAGTTACCAATGACACATATTTCCAACTATTTGTGCAGCTTTCTTTTGGTTTCAGCGCTTCTCTCCCTTAGACCTCTATGTACAATAGGCACCAATAGAGCAAGAGAAGGTGCATCTACTGAATTTACAAAAGTTGTCTGCAAAACACAACAAACATTATGGGAAAAAACAAGACAAGCAAACTATAACGGGAAATTACATTTTATCCACAAACCTTACATGGAGGAGTATATCAAGAGAATATCTTTGTGTGGTCATTGGGGTCAGTAAGACCCATCAAAAGAGTAGGGACAAGAGAAGCTATTTCAGGATTCTTATCACACTCCCAACCTAAGAATAATAATAAAACATATTAAAATCAAATAGTAACAAGAAAAAACAGTATTATTATCATAAAGCAATTATACCTGCTGAAGTGCTGTCTGCCCAGCTGACTGGACTTTGGGATGTGTATCGGTTAAAACCTGAAGTCAGAATAAATCACTGCAGACCATATAAGAAGCAGACAAAGACCCAATAAAACAGGGAAGCAAAATGATGAGTTATTCAGTTGAACTCAGAAACTGAATCTTAAAAAAGTGACAAGATAAAAGAGACACATACGATAATGGAGGATGGACAAGCTTGGGCAAAATATGAGGTAAAACAGCAGCAGTCCTGACACTAAAATTGTAAAAAAAAAAAAAAATATTAATAATAACAATTTAGGACAGGAAAATGTACAAAAACGTAACAGAAGAACAGTGAGTGACAATAATAATATACTGAACAAAATGTTACCTTAATATTTGCTTCAGGCCATCTAGGGCAGTATCAGAGGTTTCATCATCCTCCAAAGCATGTAGAAGAGTTGGGACTATTTCATCAATTGCTTGCATTCCGGCACTCTATGTCAACATATTTATGAGTTATATTATCTTCAGAAAATCATATTTAAAAGATAAAATTCAAAGGGAACCCGAGAATAGAAAGAGAACCTTGAAAAGAGTGCTAAATGCTAAGCCTGCCGACTCACGAACCTCAGGTTCGCTGTTAAGAGAAATTAAAAAAAAAAAAAAAAAAAAAGAATGTCTCGTCCAATCAAAATAAAGAAAATCTCAAGTAGAATTAATAAAGGAACAAATACAAAATAACAAACCTATCACATAGGGCTGTCCTGATAGTAGGGATGAGCTCATCCATGAAACTCACCAACTGATTCTTACCAGCACTGGCCATCACTTCACTCAGACCAATGCATACCCCCTGACAGTCATTTGGATATGAGAGTGTGTCAAACAACAGAAATACCAAGCTAAGATTCCTAGCAAGTCTTGAAACACAAATACTTCAACATCATCTGTAATGAGGGAACATAACAAAGAAAAGAGGGGAAAAGGGTTGAAAGCAAGGCCTCCTTAAGTTAAGAGCATTGATGATGCAGACCCAGCAACATCCTAGTCTTACACAACAAAAACGATATATGAAAAGGTGAACTAGAATGGGGATAAAAATATGAAAACCTGTTACCATATATCAAGATCTATCATTGCAGACACTAGGACTTGGATTTTGTTTACGTGTTTGACATTACTACAAGGCTACCTCCGTTGCTATAGCTAAAAACTTAATATAAAATGACAATCAATAAAAAGATATCAAACACATTCCACTGCCAGAAAAGGCAAGCTCGTTTCCCATCTATAACCCTCTCATCTCTCTTCCGGTTTCTCATTCAAATTTACCTGCTGGCTGATAATCTAAAAGATTAGATAATGAGCCAAATATCAATAAAAATTCTGAACAGAATTATCAAGATGATTTGGAACCCCAGTAATTTGTTCTTTATTAAATCAAATACCTAAATCCATAGTCAAGGATGGCAAGACTTTAAGTAAACTATTTGAACATTATAAATATTATCACTTTGAATGGACATACAAAAGAAAGTTCATTCCCGAAAAAGGTCTATTGTATATGAGAGTGTAAGTGACAGCAAACATATTTACATCTAGACCAAATCCTAATTAGAAGTAAAAAAAATAAAACATTAACAAAGCTAAGACTAAGTCATGACATTAAATAATAGTGGAATACAGGAACTCAAAGCATACCATAGTATAACATGTCATAACTATATCTGAATATTTCATCCATTCACAACCTCATGATATAAAAGCTTACACACAATATCAGGGAAAATAAAAACCATATTACTGGAAGAACAAAAATTACTTGTCTTCTGCTAGCATTAGGGTCCTTCAGCCCTCGGGATAGAATTGGTATGATCAAAGGAAGTACTCTTTCCCCAAGCTTCCTAACAAGCTCTCCCAACGATCGTCCAGCAACCTATATTATCACCATGATTTTTTTATTTGAGAAATTTACAAAAGTACCCTAGAAATAGATTAAAAATACACATACGAACCTGCCGCCTCTCAGAGGATGAGGATGCAAGAGAAGAAATTAGTGTATTCATCAAAACTGGCATTATTTCCTTGAGAGTTTTTGGAGTATTCGCCACTATAGTTTTCCACACATGTAATGCAGCCTGACAAGAGGACGGATCATTTCAACTCTAACATTCATGGTTGTCTAAAAAAAATTACATGTCCACAAAACTGAGAAACTAATATATCATACCTGACGCACTGAAATACTGACATCAGTCCGAACCATATACAGAGCAGCAAGAACTTCATTACGCTTTTCCCTTCCAAGCACCTCAATGATAGCACGTCCATGTGCTTCAGTACTAGCACCTTCATCATCACTGCCACCCTCAAGTAAAGCTTTTCCAGAAGTCCCAGCAACCTAGACAATATATATAAGTAAGATATAGCTAAAGCATAAGAATTATTTGGACTAGGAAAGAAATTAAGAAATATTAACCTTAAACAAGAGATCTCCCAACAGTTCCACAGAGCTTTGTCGGATACGCCAACTATCATTGAAAATACCATCCTCTACAGCCGGAAGGAGCAAAGGTAATGACCTGAGACCAAAGAAGTAGATATGAGTGCTTGAAGATAATTTAACATTTTAACATTAAAACCATTCAGGAAGACAGCAAATCATGGCAGATTTCATACATAAAAAGTAGAAAAAATAATTTATTAATTAACCTTCCTTCTTGAACATTTTTGTAATACAATTTGCTTCATCCTTTTCAATATATTTTCAGTATTAAAAATAAATTCAGAGACAACACAAGGAAAGACATGCCAAACATGAATCAATGCTAAGCACATAAATAGTCATTTTAAATGAAGTGTGGTACGTTGTTGCATAGTGCTCCACAAGGATATGTCCAGCACCCAATGCTGCATCACGCACAGATTCATTCTCATCGGCAAGACCTGTATAAAAAATAAAAAGAATTACATTAAAACTTAACAACAATCCTCAAAGAAAGTCCAAATTGAGATGAGTATATACTCCACACCAAAGAAAAATGTATTTACCATCTAAGATCGCAGGCAGCACTGCTGCAAGTAGTTCTGGAATTGCACACCTAATGATCTTGGCAGATACTAGAAACAAATTTCCATAAAATAGGGAACAGTTATATGGAGCCTAGCCAAAGCAACCTGTAAAAGAAAAAATGAACAGTCAGACAACATGAGGTTTCACCTTGAAAAGTGTTAGATATCCATCACGTACAGAAGCTCTCTGATGGGAGCAGTTTCGAATAATATCTGGAAGAATATGTTCAAAGTATATGGTGCGCGAGTGCAGCTAACACCTGCAGATAGATAGACAGAGAATGCTTAAGCAACCGCAACCAAATTGAAATCACAGAAGGAAATGTCATCCCTAAAATTTTACAGAGTTTACTTATAGCAATGAGAAAAGAAACCCTTGCTGGGTACCTATAACAGATACTAGAAAACAAATGGTTTCGTGCATATATAGATATATATAGTACTGCCATTTTTAAACGATTCATTGACTGCCTTATACGCATAATGTATCAACAATTGCATTATACAATGAATACAGTAATTAATACATTAACCATACAAATGCAATAAAAATCTAATTTTTATACACTAAATAATAAATAGCAGTGAAAACCCCCACACTTAAAAGCAGCATAATAAGAACAACAAATACAAAAAAGGTCCCAAAGAAAAAATTAAACTACGGCAAAAGCTATATGAACTAGAAGAGCCTAACAATTAGCCCTTATGGAAAATTTCAAGTAAAGAGATAAAGTTAATCCTTCTGCATAGATTAAACAACACAAAGCAACAATAAATAAGTACTATGAAGAAGAAAATTGATTATAGAGGCAGCCCAAAAGAAAAAAAAACATAACAAATTTTGAATACTTTCACAGCAGGCATAACTTGAAACCAGAAGATATGACATGAGGAATTATCCATTATGGACTAAATTAAAGATCTTTTAATATATAAGGATAAAAGTGAAATATATAAAGGATAATTTAACCTCACTCAGTCCTTGAGCAGCTCCAGAGCGCTCAACATTACTATTACAGATTTTAGAGTATCTAACAACCATGGTACAAGGTCTGGAAAGTTTCTTCTCCCATTCCTCTTATAAGGGATCCAAGGGCCCTCGCTGCAACAGATCTAACTTCTGGAATTGGATCCACAAGACCTGTTTTATTTTCAATATAAAAATCATGAGAAAATGTTCATATAGGGGATCATGAGAAAGTGAAAAAGATGTAAAAAAATCCAGTAAAAAGTATATAAAAACCAGTAATATTAAAAATTACCTTTTTCACTTCGGAAGGAGCAACCTATATAGGGAATCAATCCTTGGTTCAGTTACCAATGAACACATATTTCCAACTATTTGTGCAGCTTTCTTTTGGTTTCAGCGCTTCTCTCCCTTAGACCTCTATGTACAATAGGCACCAATAGAGCAAGAGAAGGTGCATCTACTGAATTTACAAAAGTTGTCTGCAAAACACAACAAAACAGTTAGGGGAAAAAACAAGACAAGCAAACTATAACGGGAAAATTACATTTTTATCCACAAAACCTTACATGGAGGAGTATATCAAGAGAATATCTTGTGTGGTCATTGGGGTCAGTAAGACCCATCAAAAGAGTAGGGACAAGAGAAGCTATTTCAGGATTCTTTATCACACTCCCAACCTAAGAATAATAATAAAACATATTAAAATCAAATAGTAACAAGAAAAAACAGTATTTATTATCATAAAGCAATTATACCTGCTGAAGTGCTGTCTGCCCAGCTGACTGGACTTTGGGATGTGTATCAGTTAAAACCTGAAGTCAGAATAAAAATCACTGTCAGACAATATAAGAAGCAGACAAAGACCCAATAAAACAGGGAAGCAAAATGATGAGTTATTCAGTTGAACCTCAGTCAATTTTGGCACGATCTTTGGAAGGCACTGAGATAGTTGTTGAGGAGCACAGTAAGCCATAGCACCAAGTAGTTGTACACTGCTTTGTTTTGTGCGCCAAGCTTTGTCTTCAAGACCCTAAGCGGTATTGGGGCAAAAGAAAATGTAGAAGAATGCAGGATAAGATAGGGCAACAAATTTTTGCGATACAGAACCATGAGACCTTTCACCGGGAAAATGCAAAAATTGCATTGTAGAAAGCTTTCCTTCTCATAATTATAAATCTTGGTCAACCATACTTTATCTGTATTATTATATAAATATGTACATTCCGAGGTACAGATCTAAATCTGAACTTAAACTCTCACGAGGAAGAGTTAACTCTGGAATGCAAAACTTGATAAGATTTTTTGATTTTATCTTGATCCTACCAGATTAAATCACCAAAAGACAAAATTAAAAAAATTCTTCCATAAAAGAACTTAAGTGGATTTTAAGAAAATGCAGACATCTGCAAGAGAGAACTATTTATATCCAAGGGCAGTCTTAACTGCTGCTCTGTTCCAATAAAAGGTAGATCCGACAAGCCAAACTAGTTTTTATTTTACTCCCAAAAAGAAAAAGAAAAGCAAGGAGTATCATCCCAAGCATACCGAAGAATACAGAACATGTAACAAATAAACTATGCACTTGAACAAGAAAAGATGACAATGCATGATACTTTTTACATTTATGATATGAGGAAAATTTTGCAGCATCAAGAAGCCTATCATGAAAAGATGACCAAGATTTTGAAAAACTGAACACAAAAAATTAGGCAGAGCATCTTTATCTCTAGCAAACCTGATGGAAATTATGGAAACTACAATAAAGGAAATTAGATAGAGCATTATACTAGAATTAAAACCTTTAATAGTGATGGCAGGACAAGCTTCACCCCCTGGGCACTCAGTTGAGACATCATTGCACGAGCAGCACTATCAGCAGCTTCACGGACAGCAACAACTTGATCGGAGAAAGAAACCAAAAGCAATGGTAGCATTTGGATCACATACCTGGATCAGAAGTGGGGAAAAGGACCAGATAAAGTAGTTCATTAAGAATAAATTATACAGAGACAAAAATGCTCATAAATATTGTTTACGTACGGTTCAAACAATCTCCCAAGCATTTCACAAAGGCACTCAAAAGCCAGTAAAGACCCTTCACGATGCTTCGCAGAATTCCTGTGGTTCACAGGAAAAATAAGATCAACTAATGTTGAACATTCGATGGATTTAGCTGCACAAAAGCTTCAGTCTCTTATGATACAAACGAATGACAAACTATCATGAGAACAATAGCAGAAGAAAGAAAACCAACAACAAAAACAATTTTGGGCTTCTATCTCTTTAGAGTTTGAGTATCATTCTTCTCCATTCATCATAATTGGGAAGCTTCAATATTGTAGCAGGATGGTTTATGCTCTGTTGATTGGGGTTTTTTTGTAGGATTTAGTTTAATTTATTGATTTTGGTACAGTAAATGACATCTCTCAAGTCCATATGCGGGCCACACCTTATTGTTCTGGTTAGGTTCTCCCCTTTTTTTTTGGTATCTTCTTTTAGTCTTAACATAGATTTTCTTGTTTCCTAGCCGCCGCCAACACCACGCACCCCCCCCCCCCCCCCCCCCCCCCCCCCCCCAAAAAAGAAAAAGAAAAAAAAACCAATCCACTGAATATCTGATAAAATAGCCAGATCACCCATTGCAAGTTACAGTACCAACTAGCTTCATACTTTTTATAGTCAATGAAGGGGACAGTTTGTGTTAATACTCTAATAATTGACTAATTTGTTAAGGTATAAAAGCCCTTTCAACAGAAAGCTGCACCAACCTCTTGTAATGCGTTGATGAGGTATAGTGCTTCCAAAAGATCCACATGCAACTAAATTCATTTTCAGTAGCACTTGAGTTGCCACATTGGATTCGGATTTGGAACATAAATAGAGATGCAAGCTTATGGTCCCCCTCCCTTAGAATAGAGACACGCACAAACATTTTCTCTTTTGGGGAATTGGAGAGTGGGAAGGGAGGGCTTAAAGTCACTAGAATCCTTACAAGCAGAATTAGCACTACCCTTAAATTTTTATTCAACAAAGTCACCACAATATATGATAATGCAAAGTATTGGTAAAACTAGGGGCCAATAATACCTGTCTGCAAAACCTTCTCTTAGTACAGCCACAATGCCATACTTCTTCAGGGAAGAAAGTCCTAATCCCTTAACCACTCCAGCAAGTCCAAATGCTCCTCCACGACGTTCTCCATATTTGTCGCTTTTCATTAGCTGATCCAACAGCCCAGAAACAAGTGCTGGTGCATCATCCTATGCAAGAAATTGTAACATTAATTTAAAAGCAACTTTTAGTCTCCATTAAAAACCCAGAAATGGTCAAAGGCATAATTAATCTGTAAAACATCTAACAGACCATGCAGATATGCCTAACAATAAATAAGAACACAAACTAAAATCCTATCCAAGCAACATCTTACATACTTGCATTGATTGCATTAATGGAGACAGGCATGATGAGACTGCCCGCTGAACAGCTTCTGATGGAGTGTTTAATACATCCAACAACTTCTCTACAACAGCATGAACTTTAGGATCATCCTGTTACAAAGAAAGGAGAGTCAAAAATGAATATCAAATGCATATCCACTCAAAAAAATAAATAAATAAATAAAGACAAAAATGTTGTATATGCTCAAATTGGTACCTTCTCCAAATGTTTTGCTAGGGCTCCAGTAAAAATTACTACACCCTCGCGAACCAGATCATATTTTTCTTCATCTGATGCCTACGCAAGAACAAGAAATATCTAAGATACTGCAGGTTCCATAGAAACTTGCAAATATGAAGGCCACATAGTATTTCAGCCATTCTAAACAAAAATAGATCTAAGAAACATTTCAATCAAAAAGAAAGTGCAACTTATAAAAGAGACTAACCTTCTTGTTTAAGTAGTTTTCAAAAATTGGAAATAACAAAGAAACATTATCCTTCCCGTGCTTATCAATAATCATGATACCAGCATTAAGCATTCTTCCTCGAACATCAGCATTAGGATCAGCCTGAGATACAAAAGCATTCAAAACTGGGTAACACTGCCATTTAATCTTTTTATTTTAGGTCACATTAACAATCCTTGAAGTGATACCTTAGAATAAAAATCCATAGTTAATTAATTCTAGTTTAAAATTAATACAAGAAGGAAAATATTGTTGAAAAGGAATAGGAAAGTTGAAAGGCAGTCGACAAAAGTTTGGAACAAGCTAAAGGCCTACACAAATTTTCTATAAAAATATATAATGAACAGCTCTAAAAAATTAGTATATAGAAAATCAGTAATATCTCAGAAAGCTAAGACAGTCTACCAACAAATAAAACAAAGAAAATATTAACTTTTCAACACTTTTGCTACAACAATGCCAGGTCCAATTAACAAGGCTATCTAAATTTTAAACATCAGTACCAAAATTCATAATAGAACAGTAAGAAAATCTTACAAGCGCTCGTGATATTAGGAATGTCATAACAACAGGAAGGTCTTTTGTTCTCAGAACATCAGCAGCAGAATGTAAAGCCAGAGCTATGCCTTGTCTGCCTAGCCAACCAGAATCAATGCTGTCCTCACCTAAACCAGCATCACGGACGTACAAAGAAAATAATGTTGAAAGTGATTCCTGAAATTATTGTAATATCATTAGAAATATGCCATCACCAAATGAGGACAGAAGTGAAGAAGAAAATTAACCTGTATAGAATCTGGATGTTCATCCAAAGCAGCAGCTAATGCCTCCGCAGCAGCCAAGCGGACATTTTGATTAATATGAGAAAGTGCTTTGAAAAGTCCAGAATAATCAGTTCCAAAGTCATACCCATAGCGGTCCCATATATCCTCTGCTGCTTCTGCAACTGACTGAAGACATTGAAAATTTTAGAGTGGATGACTCTTCAATAGGCAGACAAGCTATTACAATAATTATTATTGTTACAGCAAAGAAACGTAAGTAGAGTTACAGCAACAGCTATCTGATTAAGAGAGCAAAGTAAATCTCATCTTTGAAATATACAAGCAACACTCGGTAACTTGGGTAGGACAAACATGCAGCTTATCTGAACCATTAAACTTAACTGCCCATACATTTAACCACCAAAGGATGTCTACAACATAGCATAAACAGCATATCCTTAATGTTGGAACAAGTGGTATGCCCCACACTAACTCCCGCAGGAAGAAAAAATTACTTTAGAAAATAATATTGAAATGCTTACATTTTCATTTTAATTCAGAAATGCACAGTAGACTAATAGTTAACTAATATATGAATGTTTAGTGTTATTTTTTCTGTTGGATAGGAAGGGTAACATTTTTACATGAATGTTAATTGTTTTTTTTTTTTTTTTGATAGGAACCATAGAAACGTATATTAATGTCAAAAATCCACTGCTACAAAAATAACCCATCTAAAAGGGGCTAAGCTTTACAGAGAGTATCATGAGCCTGTGCAAAAATAAACCCAAAAATAAGAGACACTATGGGATGGATAAATCCTAAAAAAACAGATCATTGAACTACCTAAACAATTAAGATGGATAAAGAAAAAAGGTGCCCTCAAATCTTTTGAGACAGAAGAAAGAGATGCCAAAAACTTGTCTTGTCCCTATATGATTTTTATAATTGCAACATATTTGGTATACAATTTATTCTTCATATCAGTATGAAATCATTATGCCTACTAAATTCTCTGATTTACCCATTTAGCCACTATAATTATAACCATCCAAGCATGAAAAGTAACTTTTGACGCCTTTGAGATAAAAAGAATCATTTGTTATCATATGCTTTTATGATAAAGTACCTCTGGACATTTGAACTTTAGAAAGTGAGTTCATCTTTTGGTTATAGAGGGTCTTTTGATATAAGCTTCTGATGTCCTTAACTGTGGGGAGTGAACCCCTTTCTTTTTCCTCATTGAGGAAGGACTTTTGGTTAACTGTATAAGTGATTGTATTCAGTATTGCTTTGTTATGGTTTATTTTTCTTTTCAATAAACCTGGAATTCCCCCAATCCACTGCTGAACCCTTAATGTTTATAATTTCTTTTAAGCATTAATTTCAGAATTCTGTCATTCTCACCTATGAGTCCCTCAGCATACCAATAACAGAAAAAAACACTAAACAAAAAACAAAATCATTAGAATCTGACACAACTACCAATGTACCAACAGAAATCCACAGAAAAGCTGGCAAAGAAAATGATGACCGAAGTGAACCAATATATTTTCAATTAAAAAATAAATTATTATGAACAAACTTCTAAGCACAGATTTAAATTTTAATTCTTAATTATTAGACGAGACAACTGGATGCAGTCATGCAAATCTAAGGAAAACATAAACTCAAATTCACTTCACTTAAGAAGTACATAGTTAGAAGGCTAAACCTTTTCTGGATCGTGGAGAGCCAGCCATATGCTTGTTGAAATCTCAACATTTTGAGGAAGAGATCGGCTAGACACAGCTGGAATGCATTTCACTGCATTTAAGCAGGCCATTCTCACATGAACATCTTTTGCATACACTCCATATAGAGCCTGTAACAATAAATACAAGAGATGGCTTAACAAGAATTACTGAAGGACATAACTGAAGTAATTCAAGCAGAAACATGAAGCACATACAGCTGCCACTTCATCTGGTCGTAGACCAAGACACAGTTCATTCAGTGCTGATCCGACAGATGCTTGATAAGCAGGTACAACACCTAGAACATGATAAAGCACCTGAAGAATAGAAGGAAAGATTTAGCAAGCAAGAAATAAAATGAGAGAATGTAATGCGAGAAAAATGATAAATTTATTTGTGAGACATAAAACATATTTGCAACATATGTGTGTTGCTGGAATGAAGGTCTGGATATGTACTGATATCATCCGAAGCCTAGGAATAGGCAAAAGAGGATCCATATGCATGTAAAGAATCTGAAGCACACCATCATGAAGTCCTGTCTTCCTGGAGGACAATAAAATTCGCTCCATTATCTGGAAAAAATTCCAAGACAGATTAGTTAGAGAAAGAGAAGCACCATTGACTTAAGTCAAAGATAACAAAAGAGAAACCTACCGGGAAGACAAAAGTAAAGGAGTCCACAGGAAGAGGCCCAGATTTACAAGAAGCGGTTAATCCATTTACTATCCTTTCAAAGAGTCCCAATAATGGTTTCTCTTTGCCTTCCCCTTCACCCACCAATGCAATAAGATCAAAATGAATGCGAACTTCCTCGGAGACAATGAGACGTAAAGCAGTAGCAATGTCAAGGGCCCAATTACAAAGAGGCATAGCTGTGCATCTAGAGAGTTTCACTAAGGCTTCATAGGCTGCATCACTAACTATGGGTGACCTTAGCAAAGGATCAACATACTTGACCTGTTAAAATGTAATAAATAAGGATTTATATCCACCAAAAATAAAATAAATAAAAATACAGAAATTTTTCTGTAGAGAATCTAACACACCCTTAACGAACAAAGATCAACCTAAGAATTTTCAACTAAACCAAATTGAAATTTGAATCAATCAAAGGCCGATTATACCAGAGAAACAAACAAGAGCAATGCTAACCTCACAGAACAAAAAAGCCTAACCACTGACCTAGATTAAACTAAGTTATATACATTTAAAGGCATCTGCACATATTGGATGATACATAAACATGTCCAAGAGCAATATTAAATGAGCACATTTTCACATAGTTCATGAACTTCATCAAAGAACCAGCAAGCCTTATAGAAAGGATACCATGCCTTTCACCAGCCTTTAGCAATATCCATTGCAATTAGAATATGCCCAACTGAAGTCGCTATAAGAGTCCTTAAAAGGAAAAATTTCTAACACATTACTGCTTCTCAATCATTCTGCAGACATCAGACAAATACAGCCTATGCTATCTGTTAAATTCACTTCCTTCTCTGTTTCAATTTTCAGGTGAAGTTTTGATCTCACCATTTCAGCAGACCCAATATATGCATCAAACAGTAAGCAACTATTGCAGCTAAAGCATGGGTCAATACTGTCATTATCCAAGGGAATTAAATGGCAAACAAGATTTTCAAAGGATGTTGGACAAAAGATGACAGAGCAGATTACAGAAGTAGAGGCAAAGTTTCTGATCATTTATGGGAGTGCCGTTGCATCTCAACTGCACAGACATGACACTCCTTTCAAAATTATCTAGTGCATATAGAAAATATGAAAAAGTAAATATGAAATATTTCTTGAAAGAAGGCTACTAAAATTATGACAAAAAGGTATAGGAAATGACAGGAGGTTGGTTGTGGAATGCAAACCAGAGAAGGTAATTGACTGTGTGCAAACACAGGATTGGCAATGGCCATCTCCCCAAGGGCCATCAGAATCAACGATAAATTCTTCTGTATTTCTAGGACTTTCTCACNCTCACCATTTCAGCAGACCCAATATATGCATCAAACAGTAAGCAACTATTGCAGCTAAAGCATGGGTGAATACTGTCATTATCCAAGGGAATTAAATGGCGAACAAGATTTTCAAAGGATGTTGGACAAAGATGACACAGCAGATTACAGAAGTAGAGGCAAAGTTTCTGATCATTTATGGGAGTGCCGTTGCATCTCAACTGCACAGACATGACACTCCTTTCAAAATTATCTAGTGCATATAGAAAATATGAAAAAGTAAATATGAAATATTTCTTGAAAGAAGGCTACTAAAATTATGACAAAAAGGGATAGGAAATGACAGGAGGTTGGTTGTGGAATGCAAACCAGAGAAGGTAATTGACTGTGTGCAAACACAGGATTGGCAATGGCCATCTCCCCAAGGGCCATCAGAATCAACGATAAATTCTTCTGTATTTCTAGGACTTTCTCACGTATAGATGCCTCCTCCTTAAGCAACAAATCCCGTGCCTCTTCTTTTGCTGTCTTTCCTTTATCTACATGAACAAAGTAAACCACAAATAACCATCTTAGAAAAATGAGCTAATACTGCAGACACCAAACTATAAAGTGAAAAAGGATTTAATAACATACCAATTTTTTTCGTTGACTTCCCAGTATCCTTTTTACCCATACCAGCCACTTCTCTACTAGCTGGTTCTCTCTTTGTAGAATGATTGGAATTGACTTGGTCCTGGAAACACAACAGAGAAAATCATCAAAAATTACTGATAAAATTCCTTGAACATGACACCCAAAAAAAAGGACAAAAGAAGTGCCACAGAAGGAAAAAAAAAAAGAGAGAGAGATAGCACCACAAAAATCCAGAAATACCATGTCATCTTGGTCTTCATATACCCGGAAACGGCCTTTTGCTTGTTTAGTGTTCTTAGCAGAAACAGCTTCTGCAACATAAACACCTAGCTCAGTTGAAAGCATTCCCTCAGGAGTACGGAAAACCTGAACAGTAGGAAAAGAGGGAAGGTTACCAAAATTAGCAAATCAAAGAGCTGCAGGATATAGCAGTAATAGGATATTTTTCTTTTAAATCATCTTTCAATGAATAATGAATTTCAGGATAGAAAAAGAACAGGATCTGCTTGGAAGGGAAGACAAAAATAGGAAATATAAAAATTTAAGAATCACACTGTTCATAGACAGTACATATTCCAAACTGAAGTCTGTCAGAAACTAAGATCTGCTTGAAAAAGTCATCAGCCGCATTTTACCATCTCATGGACTCAAAAATCATCCAAGAGTTTATACTTTATACAGATTAACTACAAAAGCAATGAACTTTAATTCTAAGCCACAGAACAGATAAATAAACACTAGAATGTTTCAGTAAATCAATTGCCATAATGTTGGTCTAATGTCACCTACATCCACGTCCTGACAAAGAGGTGGAGAGAAATAGCCTGTATGCACTCTAGTGGACTATTTCCAAACATCAACAAGATAAGGAAAAAGAAGTTCAAATATATCCATATTTCTTAAAGCAGTATTGCTCACATGAACTATTCAAATGTGATCAAACAATAAATAATGCTTAAAAGAAATTATAAACATTAAGGGTTCAGCAGTGGATTGGGGGAATTCCAGGTTTATTGAAAAGAAAAATAAACCATAACAAAGCAATACTGAATACAATCACTTATACAGTTAACCAAAAGTCCTTCCTCAATGAGGAAAAAGAAAGGGGTTCACTCCCCACAGTTAAGGACATCAGAAGCTTATATCAAAAGACCCTCTATAACCAAAAGATGAACTCACTTTCTAAAGTTCAAATGTCCAGAGGTACTTTATCATAAAAGCATATGATAACAAATGATTCTTTTTATCTCAAAGGCGTCAAAAGTTACTTTTCAAGTTAAGTACCTCAACATCTCAGGTCAGAGGCTTAATGGTTCATTCTTTCAATTCTCAGTATGCAAAGTATGAGAAATGTTGCCTCTGATATATCACCAATCAAACATTTTAACAATGCAGTATTTACAAGAAGTTTTTTGCAAAAAGAATAAATAACAAAAGGATTACTGTTAAATTAATCAAGAGATTGGGTATAAATTGAGCAGGTGAGCACAAAAAAATAACCTGAATGTCATTCTCTGAAAGACTATCATGTAAATAAAAGTCTGGAAGATTTCTCAGATGCTGCAAGGGAACAAGTAGGATCCATCAGCCCTCATAACCAAACAAGTGCAATAGCAGCAGCCACATTTAGTGAAGAATTAGTGTAAAGTAAGAAATACAAAAGCAATAAACCTTTTCAAATTCTACATAAGTGTCTTTAGGTGTTATAGACATCAAAGTTGTTAAAGAATATATTGCCGCTTGTTGTTCAAAGGGACTGGCACTCATCAACCCCATTGCTCCAAGTAGATCCTGCACAACACGACCCATGAAAGTTAAGCAGCATATTATAGAATGAACAAAACTTAGATTCAGAAGCTTGATATAGTAGACAAATTAATGATGCTCACACAAATCACAAGAAATAGATCCGAAAATTCAAGCAAGGAAACAGCACACTCAAACAAATGACAGAGAACAATCTTGTGAACATGATAAAAACATCAAGACCAGGAGACACGCTGAATTACTGATGAAATCATATGTTTATACAGAATTGAGTTAAAACATGTGCATGATCTCTCTAAATTACATATGACCAAATTATTCCTATGTCATAAGATTGGTCCACATAAAAAAAAAAAAACCCTTAAGCACCATTAGAGTGACGAAATCTAAGTCTTAATTCCTCATTTACAAGTTTTCTAATAATAAGAATGCAAAGAAAATCTTTACCAAGTATAATATAATTACAAAAGAGAGAACAAGTTGTCCAGAAAATTGTGCAAAACCCACATGGAGACCATCAAAAAGTTACAATAGTGCAAAATCGAACAAATAAACTCACAGAAAATGTGNGAAAATCTTTACCAAGTATAATATAATTACAAAAGAGAGAACAAGTTGTCCAGAAAATTGTGCAAAACCCACATGGAGACCATCAAAAAGTTACAATAGTGCAAAATCGAACAAATAAACTCACAGAAAATGTGTTACCAGAATGCTAGATATATAAAAATAAATAAATAAAAAATCTATTAGAACACAGATGCTAGGAATTACCTTGCACAAATTCCCAACATCAGCAGAAACAATATCAATGACATTAAACCCACGTGTTTGCAAACATTTATGAAGCCTCTGCAAAATACCAGAAAAGGAAAATTGAATTAGTCAAATGAGTAATCAAAGCCCAAAACATCGAGAGTTAACATGCATAAAGTGCCTGATGTCTAATACCCAGCAACACATAAATCTCTCTTTCTCTCACTACAGCAAATTCAGTTACTCCAAAAGAGGTTGATGAGTAGTCAAGACCCATCATAAACATGCCATATCTCATAGTACCCACCAACAAACACAACGCTCTCTCTCAAGCAAAATAAGCAAGTACAAGAAAGGTCAATGAGTAATCAAACCCCAAAAGGCAGGAATTTAAAATTCAAAAACATAACAGACATCTTTGCATCCACCTAAAAACACAAAACCTTCCTTGGAATTATATGAATCTTAACTTACCACTCTGCCTCCCTCTCCATCAAATTAAATATATTGGAACATATACCTCATTAAAATTGAGGATGAGTTTATGCAGATAGAAAAATACCACGAAATTACTTAGAAGAGAAACGCCACTAAAGGTAAAGAGTAGAATAAAAAATACCTTCCAAATTGCATCTCTTTTTGCGGTGCCAACAAGGCATGGATGATGAGAGCAGAATATAACAAGTGACGAAACACTTGGAGCTGCAGCTAGAGCCACCGAGGATATCACCAGTAATGCCTTCACCAAAACCTCGACAGATGGAAGGAATGGAACTTGCATATCCAATGAATTATCTGCATCACTATTGATATATATTTTTAGATCCCCTCAGCCAGACTGGAAAATGATTTATTAAACCATGTGACCAGAACAAAATGCATCGACAAGGACAAACATAACAACAGATAATATATATATATATATAAGAGTGTGTGTGTACGCACACGCCCACGCACACATCAATGAAGATGTAGTAACAGTATCACATCCCCAAAATCAATTAGTTTGTTAAAATCATTCAGATTTGTTATTTAAGGACCAGTTGAGATGTCAATTAATGAATACTACTGAGAGTAAAGCTTGAAAAATAAAATAAAATAAAGAAGAAAGATAAAATTGAATCATGATTATGGACAGGTTTGTCGATAATCATTAATTCTATTTTACGTCAAATTCAAAATTAGAATGAATAAATTCTCAGATTGATAGCAATTACATTCAAGATTTTTGTGCAAATTTTGTAGAGGCATCTGGTGATTTTAGCTTTGATGAGTTTGGAAATGGAGATGTATTCATCATCTTATATAGTTTTTCAAGCCTTTAGGATTCAAGGGACATCCTTTTCTTGGTGGACAAATTGTCCATCCTTGTATACATTTAATTTTAATATAGTATATTTGTTTCCTAGCACCAAAAAAATAAAAAAAAAATAAAAAAAAATTATGAAACAAAATAACAAAATACACCATAGATAAACTCACATAATATTTAATTACATACAGAGATAATACAAAATTGATATAATTGACATTTGAAACGACAAAAATAAAAGAAGAAACTGAGGGAATTTACAGACATTTCACAACATATTAAGGATATATAAAGTTAAATTCTTAGACTACAAAAGCACCCAAGGTCAAATGCACTAATCATATATAAATTGTACCTTGTTTTTGAAATAATAATCTTCTCTCCAACCACTGAAAGAAAATTTGAAAATTCAAGTAAAAGAGCTTCAGATAATTGTGGAGTTGTAGTAACTATCTTTCTGGTAGCATCATGAGCCATCTTTCGGACATCCCAACTCGGATGGCATATGAAAAGGAGTATTAGCTGCAATAATATAACATCACTGAATCATAGATTCTATGCAGAAAAGGAATCCAAGATGAACTTTATACCATTTTATTACCTGTAATAGTAATTTCACAGAGAAAGTTTCCAACACTCTGCAGATGAAACAAGGCAACAAATTAGAGTTCATTCATAATCTATATTAACATGCATCATGGAAATATCAAACTTTGTAAGTGAATAACCTGTGTGAATGTTCCACCAGTAACAACTCAAGAAGATCAAGACATGCCATGCAATCCTCAACTGACAATTTTGAAGCCTGCAAATAAACAAATATAAAATCTAAAAACTAGAATTGATTAAACATATATTATATACTAAAAACAGTGTTCCTACCATTGAAGTAGGCACAAGCGAGGGTTCATTTTGAGATATCAAAGACCAGATCTTTTCCCTTGTTAAAGTCTCCTCTGAGAAAAGAGGCGCAAAAAGATTAACTTGAAGAAAATAATAAGAAAAGCTAGTAACTAAAAAGACTGGACAATGATGAAAATTGTAAATTTACATCAATAACTCTTAACTACTTCAACAAACACCTGCTTTGATATCAGCAGCTGCAATCTTCCCAACTATGAGCAAAGCATAAATACCATCCAAACGCTGCACTGCTTTAGTAAAACCAGTTTTGACAAGTTGAAGGAGTGGCCCCAGCAATGATGATATCTGACATGTAAATTTTATAACATGACTTAATTTGATAGATCTAAAGAACATCCAAGACAAGGATTAAAATTGAAAACAAAAAAGGATACACTTCACTAACCAACTTACCAGCAAAATAGCATCATTATTTTTGCATATGACTCGTAGACATCGAAGATGCCCCCTTCTTAAAGCTTCCTTCTCCTTGAGGCCAGAAGCAATAAAAGGAACTAGATCCGGGTGAAGATTTGCAGCAGATCGTGCTGCCCAAGAAGCCATGGCTGACAAAATTGCAAGCTTTACCTCTTCATTTCCTGGAAGAAATAAAATATAGGAGATAAATAGCCAGAAGAATCAAAAAGACAAGATTATGAGAAGCCATGACAGATGCAAATTCATAAAGTCTTAATGAAAACTTCCAATATCTACCAGCATATAGAAGCAGAAGTTTCTAGGGGAAAAAATCAACATAATAAGAGATCAGAACATAACAGGATACCTTCGGTCTTGTAAAAGGATAAAAGGAAGTTGCAAATGGTATGTGACAGACTGTTGAGATATTTCCCTTCAGGAGCATTAGACAATTCCTGAAGTGCATTGATCATGCCAATCCGTTGGTACGGAAATTGAAGTCTCCCTTCTGAGCCTGTTCAGAATAATTTTTTAAGATTAAAGGATCTCAGCATAGATTTATACATTCATTAAACAAATCTAAAAGTTTCATACATGTGAAGAAAATGTTGCAAATACTATAGAAAGGCAAGAATAAAGAATTTAGACAAACCTCCAATAACCGCTTTAATAGCATTGAACATAGCTTCTATAGCATCTGGATTGCTAGACTTTTGGCTCAAGCACCCTACTACAGCCAATGCCCCAACCCTTCTACCTTCATCTGCATGTCGAACCTGAGACAATACCACTGACAGGATTTCGGTTGCATACTTACTTAAATCAAGGTTGACAGACTTCAGAAGGATTCCAACTGATTCCATCACAATTTCCGGGTTGCGTTTTAGCATCTTTACAGAAGATGAAACCACAATACTCTGAAAATCCTCATGAGACATATGCATAACAAGTGGTTGAAAAGATTCACTAAGACCCTTTGTCGGCTTTTCTTTGGCACTTAGAACTGCTTTAACATATATATCAAGAAATACCGGCTGTCCAAGGCAAAAAAACGTATAAAATATTCAGCAGAAATGAACTCAGTTTAATGAATGTAAAATAGGAGCCCCATGCAACAATAAATAATATATCCAAGTGGGCAAAATGAAAATTGAACAATTCTCACCTTGTATTTTTCAAACAGAGAAGGTGATGTATAAGAAAACTCCAGCAACAACCATATTAACTCAGGACTATCTTTGTATGGGATTCGCGCATCCTTTAATTCCTCTGTATAAATTTTGAAGATGTCTGGTGCCTGGAAAAACAACAAACATGGAATGCTCAAAATTTAATCAGAAACTGTCAGCAGGCTACTGAGTTTCATTCTAAACACCAGCAAGGGCTACATTGGCTCCACCTGAGAAAATAAATTAAAAAACGCTTGCTTGCATGCTCTTCGTTCACGAAAAGATCTCTGCATCACAATATGAATTAAGGATGCCTGTGCTGCAGCCACTCTACACAAAGCATTCTTAGAAACGGTGGCAAATTGACTCTTGGTTAAGAGAAGACACGACCACTTGAGGAGTCTGTAGCAGCCCACATGTGATTGGAACTTTGAAAGCTTTTCCATGGCCTGAACAAGAGCCGCCGCAAAAGTTTTCATAAATATAACATCACCTAAATCCTTTTCAATCATGTCATCTACAGCTGCCCTCGAACCACGATCATCATATACAGAAAATGTTTTAAAAATTACATCCACCAACGACGAGGCAAGCTCAGGAGACATTTCTGCAGGGTTCAAAATTCTCAACATTTTAGAACCATGCAAAAAAATAAACACACATCCGAACTCCATAATTAAGCTGAAAGGCTTTTATATTTCCTTTTTCTAGCCAACCAATAATGTACAAAGACACAATTTAATTTGACTTTGATGCTAAAAAAATGTAAAATAAATTAATGAACACCTCATACAAATAACTTCATCAACTTGACTGGAATTGGAATTTTATTTAAATGCTTCTCATCCTATAGTAGTTACCAACAAGGAAACCCTCAAAGACTGCTGTTAAACGGAATCTGATTGCTACAAATTGCTATTCTATCCACTTAATGCATCCCTCAATGACCCAAATCAATTTATAATAAAAAACTGAACACCAAAAACATCTTATTTAATCATACAATGGATTCCCAATTTCTTAACGCCAAATACTACGCGGTTACTACTTTCAATAACTAGACACACACCTATCAAGCGTCATTTGGTGTGCTTCATAAAGGATATAATTTAATGTTGCAACCAATATTTCTTACCAAAAAGCATGATATATGCTGCTCTAAACCCGATTATATAAGTATTTTACGATATTGAGTTTGAAACTGAAATGCATTTTGTGATGCCCAATTCATCTTGTACATAGTTCTAAAATAAATAAAAAACTATAAACTTAAGGATGAGATAACAGTAAAGAATTCTTAACTAAACAATATAACAAGTGAACTTTAAGAAACCTTCCCCAAGGTTTGGCCTAATAACAGGAAACCCCCTAATTTGAGAAATTAGCTAAAACCTCCCCTTGAATCTAAAACCATCATAAGCCTCTGCTTAAATTCGACAGAAACCTCCGCAACTTTCACAATATTTCCAAAATTCAAGGGCAGCAGTTTAATTCCGAGGCCCCGACAACCCTAAGAAAATGAGATATATAGCCATTCCACTAATCAAACCCCCTATGTTTCACAAAATTCATCATAAACCTCTCTTAGCTTCCCTTAATTTCACAAAATTGGTTCAAGAGTCGGAATGTAATAGCAATCCTTCAAGAAATGTGTACATTATCATTTCATTAAAATTAAAAACGACAGTTACATTAATAATCATAGGTTTAAACATATAATATACGTACAATCGTAAATATTTAATAAAAAAAATTCCATCATTCAAATTCCTAATGAACTAAGAAGAATCAACAAAAATCATCATCTATGCAATGCATAAAGAAATACAATAAACGAAGTGAATTGGATAAAACTATGTAGTTTAGCGTGACCTGTGTTGTTTTCAAGAATAGAAGGAAGTTCATGGCGGAAGATGCGGCAGCGTCGTTTGGTGGAGGAAGTGGTGACGGAGGCGGCGATGGAAATGAGAGAGTCGGAAGAATCCGCCATTTTGCGAAATGGATAGATCCGAATTCAAATTGAATTGAGAATCGGAGTCGGTGGATGATGATGCTGATGATGATCAAAGTGAAACCTTGAGTGAGTTATTGTGAGCGTGATGATGCATTTAGAGAGTAGCAGAATTTGAGACGTGATATATCGACTATCCGTCGTCTTTTCAGCTGTTGGATTAGTTATTAGGGTTTTAGTAGTAGCAGCAGCCAGTGCCAGTGCTACCAGAGAGTGCACAAGTCAAAATTAAGTACTTCTCAGGGGGAAAAAAAAAAAAAAAATCCTAGCTTTAGTCACTTCTTCTATCCACCTTTGTTAAAATAATATATGATACCTATACTATACTTATGATACGTGTACTATACTTTACATTTACAAAAATGAGTAGGGAGAGTAAATAAGGATAGCATTACTCAAAAAAAAATCCGGGTGTCCCGATTAGTTTGTCCATTCAATTCCGACAAATCCAATAAATAGACCTAATTAACCACAATATTATTATAGTAAATGATTCTAAGATTTAAACTTAAAAACTCAATAAAATAAACAAGCTTCCTTGACCACCAAACCAATCTTTGGGGTTTAAAATTATGTATTTTTGTTTGTACTTATAAAATTATTTTCCTTTTTTTATTTATTGTCCAACCTAAATGTTACTTTGTGCTAGTAGTGTGGTCTAGTATACTATTATTGAGTAATACTATACATACAAACAAGTCTTACAAATAAATCTATAAAAACTGATGTGATAGAAAATGAATGAAAAAATAAATATAAACTTATCATATTCACTTTTTCATCTATTTTCTGTCACATTAGTTTATATAGAACTCTTTGTAAGACTTGTTTGTACATCTAACATTATTGATTTTTATTTTCATACTCTGGTTCTTTTTTTTTTTTTTTTTTTTTGTTTAAATCTCAAAAATTGTCAATGGACGTTAGGTTTGGCTATATTCTTCAAAAACTCTCTTCTTTTAGGATGCATTTGGTTCAGCGAATACTATATTACTGGGAATATTATATTAATAAAAAAATATATTACCTTAAAGATTACTGTGAATGTTTAGATAAATGTGTTTGGTTTGTTAGAATAAATTAGTGGGTATATTATATTAATATATTTGGTTAAGATGAATAAATTTGTGGGTATGTAAATTAGTAAATTGCCCTCATTTTTAAATATTAATATAATATTATCTTTTGAATAATTCTTTTTACCCCCTATATTTCAGATTTATCAAAAACACCCAAGTAACCAAAAAAGTTTAAAACTTAACAAAAACATCCCTACCCACCCCAAGTCACTGCCAATCGCTTGCCACCATCGCCAACAGTGGTCGTAACAACACACGACCAGCCAAATCTGGTTGGTTGTGTGCCGATATGGTCGTTTCTTGCCAAATCCATAATGGATCTGGCCAGAACGGGCTGTCGTTAACAGCCAGAGTTCTGGATGTTGACAACCATAGTTCTGGATGTTGACGACCACAACTGGTTGTTGTTAATGGCCAAAAGCCATAGATCTAGCCAGAAGCCGTAGATCTGGCCAGAAATGACTAGAATAGATCTAGTTGTTTTCAACTAGATCTATGGTGATTGGCTGGAAATGGTCGACCAAAACCGGTTGGTCGTACTCCATTCCAGCGTTGGTAACCTGCCGCCGATAGTGGTGGTCGGCGAGCCAGCAATTAATGGTGGTGGCCAGATCTTGCCACCACCTTTGGGTAATTTTTTTAAAGTCGAGGGGTATTTATGTCCTAGAACTTTTGTATATAAGGATAAATAGTCCTTTAATTTTTTTTCAAAACAAGGGTATTTTTGTCCAAAAAATTTAATTGTTAAAGGTAAAATTGTAACAAAATTAAGATTACAATATCTAAGAAAATGGAGATAATCAGATTATCTCTTATATTACCCACAGTAATTACTAGTGGTTATAGAAGATTATTGGAATCTTATATTACTTGACAATCAAACGTGATAATCAAGTAATATAAGATTATTCCCAACCAAACAGCGCTTTAAGGTTTTGAAAATTAATCAAAAACCATTTTAGTGCGACGCGGTTTAAAACAAATTAAAGACAGAAGGTTAAAAAAAATTCACATTACTTTAAGGGTTGAATAAGAATTTCATAATGAATTTGTGAAAGTCCTTTTACATGTCAACCCCTTATCTTCCAACAATAAAATCTCAATCCCATCTCTTCCAATAATCAACATCTCATCCTTTTCTTCCAAGAATTGATCTTAACATGTTCAATGTGAGCTATTATACGTTTTTAACATCAAACTAACGGATTCTGTTAACAAGTGTAATTTTTAACTAATTTTTAATATCTTTTGAAATTTTGGTTTTCTTATAAAAAAGAATGGGTATAAAACAATATTTTTGGAAAAAAATATGATATGTGAACTTTAGGTTTTCGTTTCGAGAACTTTTATTTTTCCGATACTTTAGGTTTTGTGTTTTCAAAAAACATCAAGGGTGGCAAAACTTCCAATCTACAGAGAAGGATGGGTTTTGTGTTTTGAAATTTTGTAAATCCAATTGCCCTTTTGGTCTACTAATTTGATTTTTTTATTAAATCTAATATTTTTTTTTTTTACCAGGAGTGTTCGGGTCAACTTGCACGCATCTAATTAATCTCTTGTGACCCTGAAGTTAACGGTTGGATCATGCTTTGTTGGATATCTCTATTGACAATCGAGGGAAATTGAACTCATGACCTCTTAAGTAATACATATAAGAGTGTCTATTCGACTACTCGATCACTCAAGGGTTGATTTGTTAAATATAATTTCCTATTCCTTGATTTGATTTTTCTAGTCTAAAACCTAACATGCACAATTGAGGGGTAAATCATTTTATACCATTATGTGATGGCTTCGTCTTAGGGTTGTTATTGACTAATTTTCAAAACTTTGAGGGTGAGTTAAACCTGAAAAGCATTATTCGGTTGATAGTTTTTGAAACTTAAATTTAACCATTTATTTATTATTAATTACCAACTCGTAGAGTAATAAGTTTAAGTTTAGAAAGCCACTACATATACAAACGAAAAAATCACTCTTATATACAAACTTATATAACATATTTATTTTATTGACATGTCATTCATTCACATTTTATAATTATTTATTGAGTTGGTTTTTGTACAATAATCTTTTCATTTTTTGTCATATAGTTAATGTATAACAATTTCATTCATAACTTTGGGCTTAAATAATTTTAGTATTGCAAAACTTTTTAGCAACGTTTTGGTCCCTGAGATTTGCTAATGATGCCGGGGTCAAAATGTTATTGACAAAGACCAAAATGTTACTAAAAAATTCTATAAGACTACAGGATAGTGAGACCAAACCTCAAGGATGAAAATGTTACATCTTAAAGTTTAACCACGTAGCAGTCACTCAAGGATTTTAACCTATCAGGCCACTAGCTAGAAAGACAATAAGTGGACTTGACTTGTTCTGAAGAAATGGGTCGACCCCGGACTCGGTTCAAGGCTTCAAGCTGAACTAAATGAGAAGGACCAGATGTTCAAAGACCGCAACTAGATCCGACCCAAATGTATAACAATGATATTCAACATGTATCTCCACCTGTTTTACTAATCGAGGAGGATGTGTTATGATTAGGCATGCAAATTTTATGTGAAGTTAACGAGGATATACACGAATTTCAAATCAAAGAGAGCTTGTAGTTTAAAATCTTAAAATTTTTTTATACAGGGAAATGTTTATATGTTGGTGGTGTGATAATATCAAGTCATTATATATTAATTATTTGATTAATACTTTCATAGAATTAATACTAGGAAATTTAATTAATTGATTAATTATCAATGCCATAACCATATCTTCAATTAAACTAAAAATCACAGCGCTATCTTAATATTTAGGCTAAGTTCGCTATATCGTATTCTACTATATTATATGGTATTATACTATTATATAACATTGTATTGTATCATATAATATTATATCTATTACAAGATATTATATGGTGATTGATGCAGTATCATATTATATAAACTTATATTGATTTTTCAATTAACTTTGAAAGAAGTATTGATTTAAATTTAAATAACTATTAAAAAAAAAAACTAATTTTACCTTAAACTTTAAGAATTATTAATATCAATCTCTTGAGACATGTTATAATAGCAAAAACCTTCAATTTTAAGTGTTAAAATAAAAAGTAGTAGAGTTGGTAGGTAATATTCACTAACTCATCATAATATTAACGACAAGGGGAACTTCTGTTATTTTAAAAACCTCATAAGAATTTTTGTTATTATATTGTATCTCATGAGGATTAATGTCATCAATTTTAACTTTAAAGTTAAGTAATTTATTAAAAATATATATTTTTTTTAAAACAATTGGTGGAGATTGTTGAATTCCAACCCTAAATTTTTTTTTGCTAAATGGGACAGCACCTTTGGTTATGCTTTTTGTTGATACGAAAATTTGCATCAATCAAAATGATCTGATTGACCCTGACGGAATCGTAACAGATGTGTGATGATTTAATGAAATCAATAATGGAATAATTAAATAGCAAAAATGGGTGATGACAAGAGGCAATTTTTAAAGTGGTTCGACAAGTTTGAATCTTAAGCCTATGTCCACTGTTTCTCTTATTAAATGAGAATTACAATTGATGAATCTTTTCCTATAACAATTGCCTAGATTGACGATGAGGTCGGATCTTTTCTAAACCTAGATTGTCTTGGGGGGCTCACGTCAGGGGTTTCCTCGCTTAGGTTTAGTGAGTTTTCAGCCCCACTGCTCGTAGTCCGCTCTAGAGCCTCAATAACGAGCTCATCCCAAGCTCGTTTTCCACTACCAACTGAAGCTGTTGGGAAGCCCTCATAAAACATCCTCTTAATGCTAAAATCGCGGGAATACATGCTTGACTAGCTCGCTTGTGGATACTTGAAACATGAAGAAACAACTGTCAAATGTCAGATAATGGGCGACCTATCCACACTTGCCTCCAGTTTAGGCATTGAGAAAGCTCGCACAAACTAAACCCAAAGACTCGAGCAAGCTATCAAGATTCCCAAAACTAACAGAGAATTTCGACGAAGGATTCCGATGGCCGCTCATCAAGATGCTCTTAAAACCCAAGGTTAGAGGGGTTTGACCCAAAAGAACTAACTTGGCCTTGATAATGGCCACCCCAATAACAAAAAATTGAAG